TGTATGTCTTAAATGAAAGGAAGAGAATGTATAACAATAACAACCCCATCCATTTTCTACTTGCTGCTACCATATTTCTACAGTTTTAAGAGCTTTCGTGTTTTGTGACTACCAAATAAAATTATTTCAATTCTCCTCTGTCATAATCTGTGAAGCATGACAGTACTTTAAATACAGAAAAACAGCAGCAGAGAGGTTTAACACCAAAAGCAGGAAAACCATGTACAGCCCAAAAAACAACATTTGAGTGCCTTAAAAGATGTAAGTCAGTAAGTGAGCAAAGTCCAAAAACTTCAGCAAAGTGTAATATGAAGTGTCAATCACATCACACTTTACGACTGCAGTTGGGAATGTAATAACCCACTGCCTGACCGAGATTTGATGAATGTTTTATGCTCTGTTTTGTTTCAGATTTTACTAAAGCAGCCTTTAAAATGATAATTTAACTTTCTGAATGAATGACACTGGCTGTATAATTATTCTGTCATATCTTGTGTGTTGTGTCCTTAAATGTACTGTATGCTGTGCTTGTGTGTGTTTAAATGTATGTGTGAGATTTAAAATTGTATGGTTCTGTGCTATAATTATGTTGTCTTCTCACTCCTTTTTGGAACTGTGGTGTGTAATGTAATATTGCATGACTGAGACTCTTTTTGCAGCCCCTGAGAGTGAGTTTGTAAAACATTAGTCTGGTGTGATCTTGTCTCTTCATCTGCAGAACGTGGACATCCTCAGACCAGTGCGGCCTCAGGGTCACGACCGACCCCAAGACCCTGCTATCCCGACCTACCCTCCTCTGGTTGATGACCCAAGAAAAGATCCGCAGCCTGTTCCTTCTGACCCCACACTGCCTCCTGCTGTTCAACCAGCACCATTTGACCCCACACCCAATCACCCTGTGCCCTTTGACCCCTCTGTTGTGGTTAACCCCTCTAACCCCCTCTCCTCATCTTCCAGTGAATCTGCTGAAGATCTTGTAAACCAGCAACAGCAACCAGCAGTTGCCGGTCCTTTTGATTCATCCTCTGAAGAGATAGGAGGCCCCGTGGCACTGCGACCACCCTTTAACTTCCGCTACCAGAAGCGTGACCGCAAGAAACGGCAGGCCTTGATGGAGACCTCACCCTCTCACAACCCCATCTTCCTGTCTGATTTCCCTAGTGGGCTCTCTCCTTTCCGCTCCTGTCCTGGTCCTTCTCGATACACCACGGTTTAACTGCCACTGCTCATTTTTTCATTTTCAGTTATCTAGTGAGGGGGTGGACCAGTGTTACCAGAGGCTTGTGATAATTTGTGCTAATGAAAGGAATATGATCTCTTCTCACTGGCCCCGAAATTATCTGTCTGATTCTACTGTAATACTTTCACCAAAGCAACCAAAGCTTAACCTATATGTATTTGAAAATGGCTTCCAATATTTGAACAATTTGAATAAACCTTCTTTTGAGTTCCCTGTAAACTACTTGAAGAACGTATATACTGAAGCTAATAGTCTGAAATGCTGTAAGTGAATCTAAAAAGTATTGCAGAAGGACACAAAAATATTTGCGAGTTTTAGATAAAGCAAAATAACTGTGAAGGAGTGCCTTAGTATTGTGGGGGAGCCCAAACATAATCAAGTGGTCATTAAACTTGACTAGAGACAGCTTTACAAAGACACAAAGAAAAAGTCAGGGTTTATTAGGACTCTTCACCACAGGGCCGACATTGTTCACTGAGAAGAAGACAAGTGCAAACATCTCAGGAAAGCTTTAAAATTGCGGGTACCCAAAGTAGGTCCTTTCCCACACTAGAGCTATTAGAAAGAGCAGACAGACAAGGAGGGGAGAAGCGGGTGAGATGGCTGGAGTGTCACTCAGTCTTATCTTTGATATACACAGCAACCCTGCAACCCTTTTTCAAACAACAAGCAAGTCAGCAACTTGAAATCTATAAAAAAAACACTCACCAAACATAAGCAGAGCAATGTGAAGTCCAAAGCAATGACAAACACAGAGAGCTATACATCAGGAAATGAAACACAGCCAAGGTGGAACAAACCCCACAGGTCAAGATGCAGCAGTCTGTCTTCATTTAAAGGACAGTGGAAACTCATTTGGGGAAAGCAAAGTACACATTTTTGACAAAGAGGACAAGTGGTTTGAAAGATGAGTGAAAAAAGGCAAACATAACCTTCCTGAAACAAAGTGGAAGATGCTGCGACACTGCTGATATGCTGCATGAAACTCATATGATGGCCATGTAATCTACTTAATGATTTACATGTGACATCAAGTTGTGAATGACCAACAGAGGTTTAAATGCCTGGGAAAATGAGGCCAAGAACATGTCAAAACATGTTAATACCAAGCTTGTCTATGTTCTTCTGAATAGTAGGCTACACTTTCATTCAAGAGGCCTGGTGGGATCATGTTCAGTTTTGTTAACAGTGTTTGTGTGTGTGTGTGTGTGTGTGTGTGTGTTTTAAAAGGGACTGAGAGTTAACTCCCTCCTTTCTGTCATTTCCTGTTTTTTGTCTCAGCTCTAAAAGAAATTCCCATTGCTATAGCCTAGCAGAAGGCATTGACCAGATTAGACCACGGTAGCTGATAGATTCAGAATTTGAAACGATCACTACATTTATTAGCTTGTTGTTGTTTTTAGTCTCATAGAACTGACAAACAAAGCAAAAATGTTGTTGGGACAGAATTATTTTGGTAAAGGTAAGGAAATAGGCCTGTATGTGGCTTGTGGATGGTTGGAACTTCAATATTTGAGTCTGACAGTTGACGTGACCTGTGGCATCTTGAAATCTAGAAGTATCTTCCCCAACAGGTTTTGTTGACCAGAAATCAAGAATTGTATTTTGACATAACTTATAAATCCCTTATAAAACACAATTTTAATGTCACTTTGTTGGGTGCTTTTTGTAATTAGACTATTTCCCAAATTTACAATTTACTTTAGACGTAAAGAATATTTGATACACGAGTTGCTGCTTTCAAGTGTTTCTCGAGAATTCAGAACTTAAACATATTTGAAAATACATTACTCAGCCTTGCTGTTGTTTGGAAGTCTTAAAACAAAACTAGAACTGCAAGCAGTTGTAAGCGGGGTCCAAGCCTCCCGGCGCAAGCCTCCCCCTAGCCCTGCGGAGGGTGAGCAAGTCGGCCAGGGTGCCTCAAGTTTGGTGTTGATCCGCCATTACAATGATATTTTCCACGGCCTTTCAGCTTCGATTATAGCACCACCTAGAATCCGAAAAACACAAATTTGGTGTCAATCGGACTTGCGGTCATGGAGATATAAAATGCAAGTCAATGGGATTTTTTTTTCAATAGCGCCAACTAGGGGCTAACTGTACCAAATTTTGCACAGCCCCTCAGGGGGGCATGCCACATAAGGTCGTCAAGTTTTGTGTTGATCGGCCTTTCCAAGCCAGAGATATGTTATACTTAATAATTCCCTCTACAAACTTTCTTCGTCTTGGTCCAGAGATGGTCTGTGCCAAGTTTTGTGTCGATCGGACTTACAGCTTCAGAGGAGTTAATTAAAATAGATTTTCCAGTTTTCGCGAAATGAAAACGTCATCGCACAGAGGCGTGTCCTATAACATCGGAATCGGCAGCATCTCCCAAACACGTAGACGTAAGGTTTATGAATGTGCGATGTAGTGAGCTGTTATCCGGCAAAATGTCCTTTGGTTGAAAATCCCATTGAAATGAATGGGGTATTTGAGCTTTGATTATAGCGCCACCTTTTGGCCGAAGTGCACCAAATGGGACCCCATGCTGAACAATTGACCCAAATTTGGTGTTAATGGGACTTGTGGTTATGGAGATATAAAATGCATGTAAATCAATGGGAATTTTTTTTGACATCTTTAATCTGCAATAACAGCGCCACCTATGGGCATATTTGGGTGAACATTGGTGCCTGTAGTAAGGGGACCATGCTGAACAATTCGGTTCTGGTTTCATGTCAAGGTGACTTGTGGTTATAGAGGAACAATTTTTTGGGATTCAATAGCACCACCTAGGGGCGAGTTGCACCAAATTTTGCACATGCCCTCAGGGGGGCATCTCACATTAACGCTCCAAATTTGGTGTGGATCGGCCATTTCAAAGCGACGAAATGACATCATTTCCTGTTAGAAGTTTTTCGCAAACATTTGTTAGCATATAATTGCGACATTTTTTGTCGGATCAAAATTTCCTCTACAAACTTTCATCAGCTTGGTCCAGAGATTGTCCGTGCCAAGTCTGGTGTCGATCAGACTTGCGGCTTCGGAGGAGTTAATTAAAATAGGTTGTTCAGTTTTCTCCATGTAGTGAAAAAAAAGTCTGGGCGGAAATGGGCGCGGCCTATACCACGAGATTCAGCTCGATCCCCCGAACGCGTGGATGTAAGGTTTTTGATATCCGCCTTCGTAGGCGGGAGTTCCAAGGCCAAACGCGTTGACCTTGCTTATAGCGCCCCCTAGAGGTAGAAGTGTGCGGATTTTTGCGCCTGAGTTATGTGCAGTGAACTGGACCTACCCCAGGAGTTTCGCGTCCCTAGCAGTTACCGTGTAGGCCGCAGTACGAGTTTTATGCAAGAAGAATAAAAAAAATAATAAAAATGAGAACGAAAACAATAGGGGCCGAAAACAAATGCAAGGCATCGCGGTTCCCAGCCCCATTTGTGGCTTGGACCCCTAATAACGCATGAAACAATAGGTTAGTTAATTTAGGAGCTGCTGTTGGAGTTTAATAATCCAGTAGCATAGACACACTTTGTGCTGCAGGGGGCGTGAGATACCTTAAATGTAACTATCACATCAGGCATTGTGGTAATTTCCCGCATGTCGCTGTATCAATCATGACTGTCCTCTATTAGTAAGGGTCTACAACTTCACTCCGCCCACTAAACGTCACATTTAAAGCCGATAGTTTCATATCTGATGTTTGATTGGTCGATCTTTTGTATTTAAATAGCGGTGCCAAATTTTCCCATGGCACTTGAAGGCAGCAACAGTGGAATCCTAATTGGAGGCAGATTTTCAGCGCGAGGAGTGGCTTCTTCAACTTCTGCTTCCCGAGACAACCGAGATATCTTCCTCCCAGAGATCGTACTTTTGTAAACAACTAGGTGAAACGATTGGTGTAGAAGATTTTGTGTTGGGGAACACATTTTCTGAAGCCGAGGCCATGTTTGTGGTGCAGTAGCGCACTTCAGTTTGAGGTAGGTGAAATGGACCTTAAAAAGTTTTGGTGTCAGTCCTCCGTGTTGTCGTGCTAACGTTACATTTATTGTAAAAGCGATACTGTTATCTCTAAGTGTAATGTTAGCGTGTTTTGCTCACGGTGAAGCCTTCCTTAAAGTTCTTCACATTACTCTGTTTGTCTTTATATTAACAGACACGTCTCTCCACTTCGTGATCCTCTCGCTCCTTCAGTCAGACAGCGAACATGTGATGACATGTTCATTTTAAACTGACTCATTTCTAACTTTCTGGAAATGAGCTCAGTTTACTATTTAAATTTGCTTGTGACCGCTTTTCCCATGCAGGGTTAGGGTTGAGTCGCTATTGATGGTTTCTCCTAAGCCTACTTCAAAAGAAAAGATGGTTATCACTTTAGAGTACATCACTTAATTGGAGGGGGATTGGTTGGGCGTATTCATATTGAAATGGTTACGGTTTAGGATGCGGCATTGGGCCTTTTATCATGAGCATATGTGACTAAATAACTGCTACTCAGAGCAAAGAAATATTTTATATATTTTTTAAGTAGCCTAATCTTTCTTCTACTAAAAGTTTAAAAAACAGTCAAGTAACAGGACCGATAATGTTGCAAGCTGTGGTAAAGAAAGGTTTGTAATTTTTTATACCTGGCACATCTGTGCTGCCGGATATCAAACTTTTATGGCCAGCATACACACACTTCTGTGGGTTGGTCCTGTCATTGCTCAGCTGCTATTTAGGCCTGTAGAAATGATCAATTAGAATTTATTGGGCTCACCTTATTTGAAAAATCATTCCTCCTAGGAATTTAGAGGTCTACAGTAACAACAGTTAAACTAAACATATGAAATACATTATATTTACAACATTTTAGAGTAATATAGATTAAATTAAAAGTGAAAGGGCAAGTATAAGGTGCTCTGTCTTGTTTTGCTTTGACATGGCCGCACATCTCAGTTCCTGTTGAACTTTCCTGATATCGACAAGCTGTATTGTACAATATGGTCAGAGTCAGTGAAAATGAACTGTGCAAATGTAAATACAATGTTATACATGTTGTCCCAGTGTTGTTGAGACTGTCTTTTAGTTGCCAGTATTTAATTAGTGAGTTGCAACTATTTACTGGGAATTGTTAAAGAAAATTTTAAACTTTTTTTTCCCTGGAAAAAAAAAAAAAGATGTAAAACAATGCAGACAGGTCAACAAGTGAAGTTACTGAGAGCTAAAGTGACTTTGAACATGTTTTGATTGTTGCCAGACATTGTGGTCCCTGCATCAGAAACCGCTGCACACTTGGGGTTTTTGCTGGGGTTTTGTCTGGAGTTGACAGGATGGTGCATTCAACACAAAAATCATGCAGTCAGCCGGAGTTTTTCGGGTGAAAACGAATGAGGTCATAGGATAATAGACTCATTGAAGTCGAGAGTGAGGCAAGTCCAGTACAGCTCAGTGCAGCGGTATGTGCAGAAGAGAGCAAAACAAAAAGCTCCTCCTGGGGACAGGATCACCAAAATGGGAGGTGTAAAGAGTGGATAAAATGTTGTTTTGACATAGTAGGGGGGATTCTGGCACAAATGGATGAATACTTTCTGCATTGGTTCAGAGTGTCAGGCTGGTGTGGTGAGCATTAATCCATTTAAGCCACAGTCAACCCTTTTTAAAATGGATACTTCCAGGATATTAACTTATAGCTAGTTAATATCCTAGTACTAGCTAGGCATATCTGATAGTGACTGCAACATGTTGTATATTTTATTTATTGTTAAAGTTGTATATTTCTTCTTAAAGAAACGTACATGAAAATTGCCAGAATTGACTTGAACTAACTAAATATTTTCATTATCGATTTGTCTGCCAATCATATTGTTTTATTCATCTTTTAATCCATTGGTTTAGACCAACAGTCCAAACTCCAAAAAATCAGTTTACTAAAGGTTGCTCCGATCGATTGGTCACAGTTTGTAATTGGCCGATAATGGCTTTAACTAGTTTGATCGGTGGTCTCTAAAAAGTCCGATAAGAAAAGCCGATCAGATCATGCAATACTCACCGGACAAATTTCTCAACAGCAGCTAAAATGGTTTCACTACGCGGTCTGAGCAGTTTTCTAAGCTGGCTAGCATCTTTTCCTTTCTTCTCCTTTTCAGACAGGACGCGATAAATGCCCCCAGTTAATCATTTACAATGAGACTTGAGCAGCAATCCGACAAGAGGAGCAACAAGCAGGAGCGATCATGTGAAACTGTCGCGGTCGTGCTCATCTCACACACACACACGTCGCCGGCTACCAGAGTTTAGTCTTGACCCACAGCACATCAGGCAGAGAGAGACTGATCCTTCAGTGTGAGTTTCCTGATGCAAAGAGAGGCGCCACTCAATCAGCTGACTGCCTCTTTATCTCTCTTTTGCTATGTTTCTGCCTCCGTCTAGATTAAAACGGCAAATCCATGGGCAAAAACGGATGACTTAATAAAACAATGACACAGACACTCACATTTGGCTTTCCGATTCGTTGTTATCAGTCATGCAAAGCAAAAACACAATGCTACTGACTGTTTTAGTTTCGGTATTTAAAATATTTTGTACTGTGCATGTCGCTGTATTTACTTTGCGACGACTCCCAGTCTGTTTTTACGCTGTCAGTCTCTTTGTACTCACGTGTTGCTTTCAGTAACAGTTCCACATCGTTGTCAGTCACTGCAAAAACAATACCTGGTGTGGTTATTCATCTGTACTACTTACTACTTTCACCAAATCTTCTGCAACTGTTTCATGTTTACACTGGCACAGTATGTTTTTAAGTAGTTTTAATATGGACGATCAACTCTGATGCGCAGCTATAACGCTGCTGTTGACGGAGAAGATTGTATTCGTTATAAAACTGTTTAAAAAACCGTATGTAGCTTCACATTACCCCACTCCCCTCTCTACTACTCTCATGTCAACCCTCTTGTTTCCCCGGGAATCTCCCGTATTTTTCAGTTCTCACCCGGTATCCTCCCGTTTAAATGTTTCCCTGGTAATCTTCCGTCTTTTTAACCTTTTTATAAAATCAAATAAAAACCTGCTGGCCATATTTAAAGTGTTTGCTACTCTCTCTTCTGGTTAAAGCCGGTGGCAGTAGGCTTATGTAAAAGATGTCGACTCTTCTTATTGCACAAGGATTTAATAAATAAACAACCCACTGAAATAATATCAGGCCTATAAACCATATGAAATTATAATGAATATAGTAACTATAAGCAATATTAACAATATACTAACAGTATAATGTGGAATTAACATTGTACTTTTAGTTATTTAAATTTCCCTTATTTTTAAATCTCAATGACAGTTATGACTCCTCTGCACTCCCCCTCTCTCTCCCCCCTAAAGCCCACAGAACCTGCCTGAGCTTTCCAGAACAAAAAGCGGCTATTTCAGTTTATCATCGACTCAAGATGCCTGTGCTCCTTTATCTCCTAAATATTTTGGCTACAGCCTCTTTTGTTGCAGTTTTTATAGTCAAAGTAAATTTATAAAGATGCTGTTTGTTCTGTTTTTGTAGCTTATTCCAAAGGAAAGCTATATTTGTTAAGCTATAAGATGTTCGCAGTAACCAGGCCAAGCTTTCCTTAATACTTTATCATCTGTTAATTTTAGTACTTAATACATTGTTTTTAGGACTAATTAAATAAATAAACAGTATACTGTACAATGGTACATGATAGATAAATGACTTCATGTAGACCTGGTGATCGGCCCACAAAATCCTGATCGGAGCACCTCTAGTTTACTATCCTAAGATACTAAGAAAACCTGTGAACATGCACATTTTAGTTAAATGATTAAATGAACAGAATTGTTGCCGATTAATTTAGCAGCTGATCGACTAATCGTTTCTGCTCTAGAACCGACAGCTTCTAAAAAATTAAGCATCAGTGTACATATTTAAACTCATCTGCATCCTCTCAAAATAATTGGATTGATTTATTTTTGTTTAATGTATGAATGAAATAAGATGTTGCTGGTGCAAAACACATGACAGTGTGAGGGTACAGTGAGTGTTTACTCTTGCTTCCCAGCTCCAGTTACAAGATAAGAGTTGGGACAGAGATAGTGTGATGGCTGAATTCCTGCATTGTCGGATGGAAAGCATGCGTGGCGGTATCCAGCGTTTTCTGAAGACTTTCACGTATGGTAGGGTGTAGATTTCTTGTCAGTTAGTCTCCAGGTTTTCCCATGAGCTTGGCAGTTGTCAGGGATCCATCATGTGGTTCGCTCTCCGGCTGTGTTCACCCTTCACCCTCGGGCTCTGGTTCATACTGCTAGGCTGACTGTCATGGATGGCAGCTTTTCTCTACACTGTGTACAGCACAGGGAACATTTACTTCATGTCCGCCAGAGGTAGGCTGTATGTTTAGTGTCTGATATGTCAGGTGTCAAATTTGAGATGACTGCAAAATGATGTCTTCATTGCTTAGTATCTGAAGGTTTACAGATGTTTGTCCTTCATATATTGTGATATGATGATAGATTTGCCTCATATTGCTTCTTGGTAATCAATGAATAGTCTAAATAACCTGTTACATGTGAATGTCAACAATTGGATATTAGAAATTATGGAATTTGTATTGATTGTTCAATTTAATATTAGACATAATCAGTTTGATATTCAAAAATCATTCAATATTTTATTATTATAATCAAATGCCATTTTATTAATACAAATAGCCTACTAAAATAGATTTCATAGTATATTTACATATTTGTCTGTCTACATAAATGTGAGAATAAGTAACAACAGTTAAAGGTTTTTCTTGTGGCAGTAACATGACACCTTACTGGCTAACTGATGGAGGATGCTGAGCAGACTACAGGAGGTCTTTACTAACCTCAATCTAAATATTTCATGGGACAACTGAAACAATTGTGAGAATATGCACATGATTGCAGGCTGTGTTGTTATTGAAAGGTAGAGATGACACAATATTGCACCCTCATTGTAATGTTGGGTATTACATACAAGCCCCATCAAGTCACTGTGCCATTGGCACATTTTTCTCTGAATGAATTCCCCTCCTTGTACTGGTTACTGACTAGCCTGCAGGTTATTGAAACAATCCAATATCCAGATTCTTGCTTGTCTTGAGCACCAATGGTAATGTCTTTTCCAGATACGAGATAGCAAGAAGATGGAAGTTTCTAAAATGTTGGTGCCCACCCAAAAGCAACAGGGACAAACTGCACTATAGCAGCTGCACTAAAGGTGGCTCTGTGCCCAGAGTTGCTGTTAGAGAAAAGCATCATTATTTGATTTTTACTACTCTAAAGCATTTTTGCATGAACTAAGGCTGGGTTATATCCAACATTTGCCCTGATTAAATAATGATTGGGCTGGCTTTTGGTCAACTGTGGGAACAGCTAATAATGAGGCAACATATTGTTTCCTCCCTTAGAGGGCACATTGGTCCAGACTTCTTAGTTAATTCAGACAAGTGGATTTCTCAGGATTGGCTACAGCTGAGTTACTAGAAGCTTTAGAGAAGGAAGGGATGGTATGTGGTGTAAGGATCAATGACAGGACGCTAATTATTTTGTCCATACAGTTTAGTTAAATTTAAAGGGAATAAAATTTGAAAATAAACTTTACAATTGAGGACCTAGTCCAAAATGTCTGGTTTTGAGAAAATATTTGGAGCATGATGGCAGGAATGTCATTGTGGTTTAACCGTAATAAATGTTACCAAATCTTTAAACTTGCTCTAAAAAGGTCAAATTCTCAATAAAATGCCTATCAATTACATTATAACTATTTAATAGTAAATAAAAGTAATGGAATACCTTCGTTCTGAAGTACTTCCTGAAGTGTGAAGGTGGTTTAAACATGTCATATCAAATTACATGAAACCAACGTAAATACAAAATGTTCATTTTTGAAAGCCTACTACATGCTTTTAAAACATGCATTAGGCTTGTTGCTCATCTTGCCTTTCCTTATTTGTCACTTTCCTGTAAATGTATTTCTGACTTTCCTCTTTTTTTAATACATGATTATGTTTTCTCTGTGGGATTTGCCCCAGGAAATGATTGAGAATTATGGAAATCCAATAATGAATGACCCATCTCATTATTATATTTTGCAGGTAAATTATTTTTGAGGGGACAATAGAAGAATTCCCACCCATCCAGGCAGCCTGATGCTGAATGATTATTTCATGGAGTGTTGAGCAAATAGCCTTAAGGTTCACTCGAGCCACTTAAAGTAGCTATAATTACCACTGAGGACTGGCCTAATTGGAAGTGACACAAACCATCAGGTGGCTTAGAGATGCAGGTTACCAATGGCAAAGTGATAAAGAATACAACAGTTAGTTAGACATGGTAACCAAGCTGACGACTCTCTTTGTTAATTTCGGCGTGGTAACAACTTGGTGTTAATCTGTATTCGTCTAAAGAAAAGATCTCTTGCTGCTGCACCTGACTGTTAAAGTCAAAGCGAACTCGCTGAGAGGATTAAGTCCTTTGTTTAGCTGTTGCCACAGTTTAGCAGAGTGCTCTTGAGAGACAGCAGTAGATCCAAAGGAGCGTGTTTTCTTCATTTTTAATGAAACTGGGATACTCTGGCTGCGTGCGTTATGTGTATGCACGTCAAGGAAGAGAAGGAAAAGGATAATGTTCTGAAAGAGCTGGGTTTGCTCCAGAAAGTGATCAAAAAGCTTGAAATGTCCGTCGTGTCAAACTGTCTTGAGTGCATCAGAATGGGAAAAGGCAACAGGTATGTGAGCATGGCCATTGGTAGGTCGCTTTGCACTGATTTGAGGTAATTAATTGTTCTGTTTAGATGTCAGAAGGCATGTTACTATAGACAAGGAAACAATGTATTTCATATTATTAGCGTTAAGTAATACTCATGGCAGATTCAGACAAATCTGTACCTAGGTTGGGTATGCTATAATGGAAAACCTGTCAAAAGAATATCTTTAAGCAACAAAAGCAATAGTAGTTTTTATTGTGTGTGAAGCTATTTAAAAAATAACAACATGAATATATTTTTAAAAACAAATTTCTGAAGTCTCTGCATCAACTTTCCCTTCCAAGGTCCCCGTTGCACAGCCAAGATTAAATACTTCTCTCCTTGACACCAGTGTTTTTTCAGTAGAACCGGTGATTGAAAATGAGGAAGCTTCTAAGTTTAGAAAACTGTAAGATGAGACAGAACATCGACAAAATTACCTTTTGTTGTAATAGGTGAATTATAGGAAGCCACATTTGATCAGTCATTTCTTAATACAGGGACTGGATAGGATCATAGATAAATATAAAAAAATTTCTTATTTCCTGGGAGTGGCAGACCTTAACCCTAACCTTAATCATTCATTTCCTGAAGCATGGTAGAGTTTGTTGCGGGGTCAGGAGACAGATTTGAAGGAAGTGCGGTCTGTCTGGAAGCCCTAGTACTGGGTCTCTCGGGCTCAAAAGTCCTGAAGTCATAAGCCTCTGATTATTCAAATGAAAATTTATGCTGGCAACCCAATTCTAATTATATCTCAAAATCCACATTAACATTTGTAATAGCTGTATCTTTAGAAAGAAAGAGATTGAATGCAGTCTGTAAATGTAACTCTTACAGAAGATGAGTGGTCCAGATTTAGGATCAGTCAATTGAAACAAAGTACATTCAGCTTTGGAAATTTTATCTTTAGACTTTAAACTGCAACTGCAAATGACGTAAATGGTAGATGTCCTTACTCGCAGTCCTGCAGATGGAAAATCTGTGCGCCCGTGCATGACTGGATTTGTTTTACAACCATATGATGTTATCACATGGATTCACTTGTTTCTCTTCATTTTTTTCATAACAGGTGGTTTGAAGTTTACAAAAAGGGGTGGTCTCATTTTGTAGGAAGGGTGTGGAGGTTGTAAAATGGTAGTCCTTACCACAGACACATGTGAGTTTACTTTAGTGCCCATGGCTAAATCGAAGGCCCATATTTTCATACCAGGGTAATTTTGGAGTTTTTAAGCTCGTGACAGACAGGAAAAGCGCCGTCCTATTTTGGATTTATAGTTCTTGTCTCTGGCTTCACATGGTGTAGACTTTCTCTGCTTGACATTGGCTGTTTCTGTGTCAGTTGTGTGTGAGAAAGGGTCCTCATTTGAGGTTAAGAGGAGCTTTAGCAATCATTGATTGAAGTGATCTTAACCATCAGGTTGATTTACTTAATACAACACACAGAAGACTTTCAGAGTTTCCTGATTTTGATTGATACCACCGTCTGCATTTTGTTATTTTAGGACATGACATCTGGCATTTCTGGGATTAAGTATATGGTTTAAAATTATGGCAGTTAGAGGCCATTTCGATTAATCGATTAATTCATAGCTTTACAAGCAAAAACAGTAAAAAATGTGTCTCAGAATTGTTTTTGGATTGTTGGTCAGACAAAAGAAGACAATTGACTTTTGCGATGGGCAGTTATTAATATTAGGCTAGTTGATAATATAATCGTTAGTTGCTTCCCTTTTTTAAGAATTGTAGTTAATTTTGAGATATAGATAGATAGATAGATAGATAGAGATATATAGATAGTAAGCAAAGCCTTTCACTGGGTGTACTAATGTAAAGTAGGGCTATAATTTACTTTTTTCCTCATTTGATTTACTATATCCCCCTAGGATATAACAAGTTTTTACTTAAACGTGTTCATCACATTTCAGTATTTGTTTTGTAAGTCTGGTGTGAGGTAACTTCAATCAACAATATCATGACTTTTAAACCTAGAGTTCACTGTCACTTCTCACGTAGACCCCACTCTCCTGCAGGATGGAGTCATCTTGCCTGGACCTGGCTCTGGAAGGTGAGCGGCTTTGTAAGGCTGGTGACTATCGTGCCGGTGTTTCCTTCTTTGAGTCTGCCATCCAGGTTGGAACAGAGGACCTCCAAATTCTTAGCGCCATCTACAGCCAGCTGGGCAATGCCTACTTTCACCTGCAAGAGTACAACAAAGCCCTGGAGTACCATCGACATGACCTCACACTTACCAGGTAAACTGTTTCACAACCTTGACATTAGTTTGTTCGAAAACCAAATCCTGCTTTGAACCCTTATAAGGATACAGAGTTAGTGACCATGCCCACTAGTTTTATACAGGTCAAACATGAATAATCTGGAATTAAACTACGTACTAAAACTTTTTTTAATCACACTCTGCATGATTAAACTGCTAGACCTGACTCCACCTGCTAGACTGGACTACACCGTATTATTGCTTGAGGCTGTAAATTACTTTCTTGCCTCTTGTGTTTTCCTACTAATACATTTCAGTAATCCACTTATATTCCAGTCTAATTATTTCCTAATGTTTTTTTTTTCTCCCTTGAAATCTCAGAACAATTGGAGATGAGCTTGGTGAGGCAAAAGCCAGTGGCAACCTTGGAAACACATTAAAGCTTTTAGGACGGTATGATGAAGCAGTGGTTTGTTGCCAAAGACATTTGGATATCACCAGATCCATGTATGATAAGGTGGGTGGTATTTTAGTGATATTTTAGAACTACAGCAAGAGTTATTTAGGTGAAACATTCCCTCAATCCTTTTATCTTAGCAAACTGACTATGGATCACTTTGCACTTATCTGTTCAGTCAATGACTATTACATTAGAATAAATGGATCCAAATTTATTGTCAATCATACTACATGGCATGCTCTGCAACCATAGAACATTATTAGTATGCACGATGACTGCAGTGTCGGCGTACCAACATCTAGAATAGGCCAGCCCCCATGCAAACAAGCAGGTCTGGTGTCGATGTATTTTAAGTACATAATTACAACGCTGGTCACTCTGGTTTCCGTCTGTGAAAATCTGGTGTGCGTGCTATAGGTTGGGCAGGCTCGAGCGCTGTATAATTTCGGGAACGTTTATCACGCCAAGGGAAAGGGCATCTGCTGGACTGGAGCTGATCCAGGAGAGTTCTCGGAGGAAGCTAGGATAGCCCTGAGGAAAGCTGCACAGTACTATGAGTGAGTTGGTATCACTTCTAAATGTTGACTATGTGCTGTTTATGCATTTATTTTGAAAGTACTGAGCAATGATACAAGTGACATGATTATTAACTTGCCAGCATAGTTTTTTTTTATTTTATTATTTTATTTTTTGTCTGTGTCACACCAAACATCTGGCCCAACCCACATGGGCTTACAAGACACTGCAATTTTACAAAACATGCATCTTTTAGTATTGCATATACTGAAACAAATTGACGAAAGGAAAAGAAAAGTTATAACATAAGTATTTCTATTCTATTTCAAGTAACATATTTATATGGAAAAATGACCTGTACACTGACTTTTAAGCTTTCTCATCTCCCGGGCCTTCTCCACGTAACTGGCAAATTTAAATGTTTCACATGTTGTGAATAGTCAACTTAGTCTTGGTGCATTATCCATATTAACAAAATCAAGATCTGTTTTTATCTTGCTAAACAAAGTATTACAGTTTCCAGTAAAACGACTCATTTTCCACATCATTCCACAGCACAGTGAACAAATCCACATATCTTTTTCCAGACTAACATACCGTCCAGTTTTAGCTGTTAAATACCACATCTCAGCTGGGCAAAGAAAGATAAAGACAAATAAAGATTTGCTATATACAATAGAATTGTCAATACCAAATTCATATTTTATCATCCTAAAATGTATGCAGTTTTGGTTTAGTCTTATCATTAGCTTCATACTTATATCCTCAGCCCACTGCTCTGCCTTGTATCAAAGTGTCTTTGAGTAAGATGCTGAACTCCTACATGGTTACTCTTGGTAAATTTGCCAGCCAAATTCCTGAGATATAAAATGAACATACTCTAAGCTGCTTGGAGGCTGTATAACATTTGTAACAAAATTGTTTTGAACCAAGACTCTGAAGCACACCATGGCTGCCTTTTTGGCAGTGTTTACAAGTTATTGATGAAGTTATGCTTTCCCTTTTCTCTTCAATTTGTCGGTAAAATCTCTGTAAAAGAAAATACTGCAGTGTTGATTGGAAATGTTCTAACATATTCCTGACTGCCACTGACATGTAGTCATGTTGAGCGTGAAAGCTCAGTCTTGACCTTGGAACTTTCGACAAAATAATCTTAACTCAAGGTCCATTTACTAGCTTTTGGACCCAAGTATGAAACTTTCACATGATAACAGGTTATGGTACTTGTATAAATGTGTTTCTTTGTTTTTACCTTTTTTTATTTATTTATTTTTTAACAAAGAGCAAACCTTTGCGTGGTGAAGGAGTTAGGCGATAAGGCAGCCCAGGGTCGTACCTATGGTAACCTTGGCAACACTTACTATCTGCTGGGTGACTTTGAAACTGCAGTAGCTGCTCATGAAAAGGTAAGTGGCAAACTTGTTGTGAGGGCTACACATCACCTGCTTCCAATAGGCCTTCCTGCAATTTGTTAAGACAATTTATCCACATACATTTTCATTTTGTCTGACCCAATGACTCAGTCTTTCCTGTGAATCCTATAATGTCAGTAATTTGCACCCTACTGTTCGTCCTGTTTGGCAGCGGCTGCTTATCGCTAAAGAGTTTGGGGATAAGTCTGCTGAGAGGAGGGCCCACTGTAACCTTGGCAACGCTTATATATTCCTCAGCCAGTTTGAAGTGGCAGCTGGTCATTACAAGTGAGTAAACAAGTGAGGCTTGAGGCCTTTCTCACTTTGTGATGGTCATTAGCAGATATCTCTGTATGTCATCATACTTGAACATGAAACTTTTGCATATGATGATGATTTTTGCAGAGTTTTAACATTAAGCCCAGATTACTCTATTTCTGTTTTCTTCTTTGTACTCTAAAAGCATAAGCGACAGAAGCAATATTTAACCATTGAATATACAACCATAAATAAATTAGCCAACAAAAAAATCAAGCTTAAGATTCAAGAGAATGAATTTTGTTTGCAACGCTTACTCTATGTCCCCCTTTTTACCATTTATAAGCATTTAAAAACATTTAATAAACGGTTTATAACACAATAATGGAACTGCAAGCAGATACAAACATTTATTAATGTATTTATCAGCAACTACAACTCCTCCTGTGGGCATTCATAAGTGGAGGCTGGTGTATAACAGATAATTAAAGCCAATATAGCAAAACAGTCATAATATAAAATGTCTTCATAGTAGAAGTTACTATTGGTGATATACTGTGCAGTAATAAACACTTAACAGGTCCTTAAATCTTCTTACTAGTACATGTTTTTTTTTTTTGGTTTTTTTTTTTACACCATTTAGTAAATGTTTGTTTACTGTTTATAAATGGCAAATGGGACTTGAAGTAAAATGTAAATACAGTCATTTATAACCACAGATGTGTGTACAGATATGTAGAAGCAGTAGTCTGTTTATTTCAAAAGTTTTTAATCCCTTACTCCAGCATTTTCTTGAAACAGAAGCCCTTGGAAAATGGAAGAAAGGAGCAGATAGCTATCATTCTGCTGCTCCCACCCTAAACATTCTTTGACCTTCTTCCTACTCTTCTGTTTCGCCCTAAGGAGGACTCTGCAGCTGGCCAGGCTTTTGAAGGACAAAGCAGTGGAGGCCCAGGCCTGTTACAGTCTGGGCAACACCTACACACTGCTTCAGGACTATGAGAGAGCCATTGATTACCATCTCAAACATCTGGTCATTGCTCAGAATCTCAATGACAGGTATAAAAGCCATTTGTTGTCAGTTTTCTAAAGCATAACAAGCATGTACAGCTCTAATGTGGGTGGTCCCTTAACTAATTACCTGCCAAAATTAGGTGGTGTTACCGCTAACACCCACGAAGCCGCAGTAAACTGCAAAACACAGACAAATCTGACAAAGTCACAAGGCAAGAGCATTTGGGGTCTTGCTTATGGAAGTTTAATGTCATTAACACATTACCAGCTAAAACCATCTAAAGCATCCAAAAGCAAGGATGTGCAAGTTCACATGCATACCAGCAAACAGGTCTGTTTTAGACAGGCAGAAAATATATTTTCTATGTATAAAAGACACATTTTACCCAAATCATATAAACATGGTACTGTTTTTATAGATAAAATTTTAAATTGGCTCCTTATCTACCAACATTAAAAGGCTGATCTAAAGTACATCAGCCTGAAAACACTGTTAAGCTGTTGTTTGCAGATAAAGTCAGTGTTTATAGGCTTCTCTGTTACTGCAAATCTGCTAACAAGGCAATGCTGTAATTCCTCTTGTGGGAGTACCTCTCTATTTTTTTATAGTCTTAGTAAAGGGATCCAAGATTTCTGGTAGTATGTAAAAGGAATAAAATCGGATTGAGGGGGGGATGGAAATAAAGTTCAGATTATAGGTTTACTCATACAAATATTCTTCCTGTGAGGAGAACCTATGGTATTCTTATAAAATAATATGTACACAAACATCAGATTGATTTTTAGGTCTACAATACATATGGAATTGTTAAATACCAGCTGTTGCGAAATGAGCATAAGCTCATGTTAAGATCAGGTTTTTGTTGATGTACTGTGTGATAGTTTGATGAATGCCCTTCCCAGTCTTGCATAATCTTAGCTGAACTTGCTCAACCAGATTCCCTCTGTCTCTCGCTGCAGAGTCGGTGAAGGAAGAGCATACTGGAGTCTAGGAAATGCCCACACCGCCCTGGGGAATCATCAGCAGGCCATGTACTTTGCTGAGAAACATCTGGAAATTGCCAAAGAGGTGACTGTTTATGGTCTACCTCTTTCCTCAGAGACCTATCAGTAGCTGCCAATAGGCAACACCACCCTCTACTGGTTGTATTGGGAACAGCAGGGAATAATAGCTTCCTTGTACTGAACACAGCATGTGTGTATATATGCACGCATAAAGCACTTTTATAGACTACAAGGGCAGTGTGACTTTGAACCCCACATGTTTTGCCTTTGTTTTGAAGTCTCATGCTCACATTGAGCTTTAATTACATGAACTTTGTTGTTGTCGATGTTGCAGACTGGAGACAAAAGCGGTGAGGTGACAGCCAGGATGAACTTGTCGGATCTACGGGTGGTCGTAAGCCTGAAGTCCAATTCCAACATCTACCCCCCAGCTGTCGGCTTCAAGTCCAGCTCCAACATCTACCCCAACATCTTCCGCAACACTAACAGCTCTGCTCTGGCTCCAGCCTTCCAGGGTTACCCCAACCTCGCAGGTAAATCTGCAATCCTCAGAAAAGCAAGTCGGATTTAACATAAGGCAGGCTAGTTGCTAGCACTGCAAAACGTCACCATGTCACATAACATTAAAACCTCGCAGGAGCAAGGCAGCTGCAGTTGCTTTTCTCCGGCTTTTGGAACAACCTTTTGAATGATCTCAATCATCATTGTTCTAAGCTCACAGTAAGCTCACGCACTCTACGGGAGGTAGAGTGTCTCCGACTTGACAGCAGGGTTTTACGCCCCTCCCCTGCAGTTACCTGCAGCTCACGTTTGACTATGAAGTTGGCAAAAGTCAGCCACAGTCATCTCAAATGCACCTAATATGCCAACAAAGGCAGGGAAGAGGAAGACTGCAAGCCAGTAAACATGAATCTAAAGAATGCAGGATTGTTTGAAAAACCCGCAAGTAATTTATTAGCAAGAAAATACATTCAACATGTTTGTTAGACCTCAGGAAATACACACAATGAGTTACACTGTAAGCATAACTTTTGTTAGTGTACAAGACTCAGGGCACCAGTTTAAATTACTGTTGTCCTGTAGTTGTACATGTGCTGTGTGTATATATATATTAAAAAATGTGGCCACAATGTTGAATTTTGTATTTCTGTTTCAGGGGTCAATTCTCCATCAAGGAGAAGAGGCAGTGAAGAGAACCTGGAACATAGTTCAAGTCCTAACAAAAATCAAACTGGAGATTCACCAGCACATCTGGTATGTGTTAAAAAAAAAAAGTTCACAAGGCAAGAAAACTTATGATTAAGTATACAGTGTATTGTTTACTCTTTAATCATTGATCTACAATACTGTTCACTCAGCCTATAGGATTAACATGGGTCTGTACGCACTTTGAATTTATAGGACTGGGAGGAGGATGTACTCCCCGGGTCTTCAAAAAACAACACAATCAAGGCTTCTACTAAGCTGTTCCTCTTTCACCGGCTGAAAAGCAAGAAGCAGAAGAACAACAAATCATCTCCTAAAGACGAGAATGAAACCCGCACAGAGCACTCCCCTGAGCCGGACGCACCGGTGTCTCCTAAGGTATTTCTAAATACAGTAGATTGTCCTGCTCAAACATCCTGGAACCCACAAGAGGCTAATGGATAATGATGTTTCAGCTTTTAAGAAAAAGTTTAAAAGTGCAACATGTATCCTATGACACAGCTTCACTTCCAAAGATTTTTAATTTACAGTAATACAGAGGAAATGTTTTGGTGTGGAACCATCATTTCTCATTATGTTTGAAACTCAATGGAAAGGAAGCATCTACACACTTAAATCTTTACAAAAATCTTTTTATTAGCAAGCTTTCGGTGATAGACCCTCAAGGCAAGAACAGGCAGCAAGTAAATGCAGCAGTACAAAAGGTTAAAAGAACAACCTTTAATGCAGAACACCTGTGTCACTCAGTTGAAACTGTGTGGCTAAACATCAAGGAAACTGTGGTCCTGGGTATGATGACTACAAGTGTCTATAGGCTATGCTATAGACACTGTACCATTAACTTGTAATTCATCTTACCCAGGACTACAATCCCTAACGGGAGAGTTTGAAAGTTGTAATTAATGCAGTATGCCTTGCTATTATCCATGTATTTTGATGTTTATATTGGTTGTCCGCTATTCTGTTCTTTTCTAATGTTATTCAGTTGTTATCTTTGTTGGGGTTATTTTTTTTTTTTTATCACTGTAGCCAGGATCACAGGACACTATTGGAGAGGATGGCTTTTTCGACCTCCTCTCTCGTTTCCAGGGCAACAGAATGGACGACCAAAGGTGCACCCTAATGGATGGCCAGAGCCAACCCCCTGCTCATTCCTCTCCCTCCTCCACCCCACCTATAGCTGAAACGAAATGTGAGTCAGCCCCTTGTGTTTTCATCTGTGTTCACACCATATTTAATAGTACAATTTTCTGACTCATCTTTCAAGGGGAAAGAAGAAGTGGAAACGAGTAAAAGAAATTTGTTCTTTGGTAAAGATCTTGGTTTATTTTATTTACAAGTCTGCTGTGTAATACCACCTCTGCCTCATATGGTGTGAATGCAGCATGTCCCCAAATGTGTCCTTTTATATATTAAAAGGACCAGTGTGTAAAATTGTCAGAAATGAATGTAATATTCACAAGTATTCAATATTTATTCAATAGTTTTCATTAGTGTATAATTGTCCTAAAATAAGTATTATTGTGTTTTTGTTACATTGGAATGAGGCCTTTATATCTATAGAGGAAACGGGTCTTCTTCTATGGAGTAGCCCAGAACAAACAAACCAAACACTAACACTCTAGAGAGGGCCTTTAGTGTTTTTGCGAGTTTAGCAGCTTACATTTGAGAATGTAGCAATCTGCAACGACTAGATGCCACTGTATCCTACACACTGGCCCTATATTGTGTGATTAATCCTTTTGTGTTGTTTGTGTCAAAGATGCATTAAAGTGATACGCTACCCAAAATCTGTGATTTGAGTGTCAAGCACTCAAACGCCTCTAGCCTTGAACATTACCTGTAAAAGGTTTGGAGTTTAATCCTTCACTGAGCAAAGCAGCTTTTATGGACCTTAATACTTTTTGTCTATCCTCTGTTATGGTCACAAATCCAAGCTCACAGTATGATGGCTGTGATAATGCATGAAGGACAAAACTACATACTTTATAGCCAACTGCCAAGTCTCTTTGAAGTGTTTGATGCTCAAATACATTTTGTGTGTTGCTTTAAATGTCATAGAATAAGTAACCAGGGATCATCTCCTCTTCCTCAAACTCTTATGCTCCTCCCCCAGTATTTGCCTTCTACAAAATCATAATGAAATGCTGGCTATAGGAGTAAAAGGAACAACTCACTGTTACCAGCACACGTATTCTAAACCACCCTTCATTTGTTACAATCTCTGTTTCTAGCTATTTTGGAGTGCGAAACACCATTGCAGGATCCTGGTCATTTCCTGGAGCTGCTGGCCAGCTCCCAGGCCCGTCGTCTGGACGACCAACGAGTCAGCCTGAACCATTTTCCTGGCTTACGTCTCAACACCTCCAACCTGCCTCGTACACCCTCCACCTCCAGCAAAGATCAAGTCCACCCACAAGGTGACAAAATGCTGCTTAATCTGTCATCTCCCTCAGCATCACTCGGTAGTACTACTCGCATCATGACCTATGCTAATTTCTCCTCCCAGCCCCCACCTCCAGTATAGATACCTCTCACATACCCTCCCTGTACAGTCACCTCGAGGTAAACGCTGAGCAGCCTGAGGGGGATGATGTCTTCTTCGACATGCTAGTGAAGTGCCAGGTAAGAAATATAAATCCAGTATATTGCTGCTGCCCAGGCATAACGGGTGTTCCACATTAGATAGAAATTCTACTAATACTTTATTTTACTGGTGGTCTGTAGTTTGTGAATAACTTCTTAATAAATGTCAAGAGGTCCCCTGGAAATAACTACATAGTTTGTTACTAATTATGGGCGGAAACACAACGTTCATTTAAAGAGCTGATCCATTAAAAGCCAACCTAATTCTCCAGCTATGTTTAATTGCATGGATGTGCACCAAGTTAACAAGTCTCTATTTTCATTATAATAACTGGTACCACATTGCATGGTTCTTTCCAAGAAACTTCTTGGAAATTTAATAAAATTATGGACCTCCAAAAAAAAAATAAAAATCTTGGCCTACATCCTTTTCAGTCAGTCATAATTACTGTTTGAGTGTTCAATCCACTTATTGTAATTATTTTTCTGTTTACATAGTGGGAAGGTGTAAAGAAAGTTCTTGCAGGGTTCAGTTTGTAAATTTTAGAGGCACGGGAATGAACTATCTTGGTACACTATTTTGTGACCTGAGCCCCACTCAGTTTTTCTCTTTGTGTTTTGAATCAGTCCTGAGTGGCTACAAGGAGATCACACACACACACACACACACACACACACACACACACACACACACACACACACACACAGGAAAATAACACTTAAGACGCCTAATTTGTCACTGGTATATTATGACAAAACAGTTGGGCAGTTCCTGATAAGTAAGGCCTGTGCAGAATCCGTGATCACAGTGTAGCTCAGTGTAATACATGACTTGCTGCAGTGTCACATTGACACAGGTGGTGATAATCTCATGAGATTAAGCGGTTTACAGGTACAGAGCCAGGTGCTCAATGCATTATGGGAAACAGTTGGCTTTAGCTAAGTGCTCATTTGCTCTGAGGTTTGATCAACAAGATTTTGTTTCACCTTAATTCTAGTTTGTTTATTTTTGTGCATTTTGATTTACTAACTTTCTTGGCTTAAATTAAACCTATGGAGATTTATTCAAAAACGTGTTTTGATTACAACCAAATCATTACAATGATTTTCTTCTAGATATCTCTAATACAAAGTGTGAAACATCTAACAGACTTTACATTTAATAAGAGCTTTTCTAATACTGGCAGTGATGCATGGTCACTCGAACCAAACAGTTGACTCTTATAAAGAACAATTTACTAATAACTGTCACTGTTTAGGGCTCTCGACTGAACGACCAGAGGTGTGCTGCTCCACCCTCTAAAACTAAGGGACCAACTGTTCCAGATGAGGATTTCTTCAGTCTCATCCTGCGTTCCCAGTCTAACAGGATGGAGGAGCAGCGAGTCCTGCCACCCCCTGGCATCACCCAATCCAAACCAGGCTGACCCCATGAGTGATTGTTTTTTTTTTTTTTATTGTCTCAGGATAACAGATGAAGTAACAAAGCTGTTTTGTTGTAACCCACAATACTCATGAGCTCTGCCTTTTTGGATTGTCCTGACAACGTTCCTGTGAGACTGCCAAGAATACAAGGGACACTATAAAGAATAAGGGTCTCAAAAAAATACAGAACTGTTCATTATGACTGTAAATCATGGGAAATTTTTTTCGCCGACTTGTTTTTTTTTTTTAGATGCCTACTCTGGAGGCTTGCATCAAGCCACTCATTCAAACTGTGGGTTGTGGTGGTTTGTGTTTGGACTAAAAAGTACTGTATTCTTAAAACTTTAGCCAAACTGAAGGGATTGATGATGGACCTTCTATGAACCCATCTCAGAGGTTCTGAAATTAAGCAAATTGGATCATTGCACGGCCTGTTCTGCCAATCTGTGAATACATTAAGTCTATCAGAGTGGTACATCTTGGTTTGAATTGATCTCAGACCTCTTCAACTTGGAGGTCAATTAACAAATCTTCTCTGGGGAAATGAGTTCCACATCCACCACTACTGCTGCACTAGTGGCTAATGGAGCCATTTTTAGAATCTGTTTCCCTATATTGCTTTTGAAGACTTCACTGATCGTTTTTACATTGTTAAAGGTTGTATGTATGGAGTTATTATTGCCATGAACTGAACTGGGATTTTTTCCCCCATTTTAACAAGATTTTACAGGGGCTTAACTAGTGTGAGGAGTGGGGGTTGGGAGAAGTTATTGTAGCTTTTATATTGATATTCTCCTGACAATGGAGAAATAAAATCTCATGAATTTACATTAGAGCTTATTTATTTAACCTTGATTCATTGTCTTCAGTGTACAACATGGGGGTCCTTCCAAGTGACATGCATACTGAAAAACATCAGTGCATCATATTGAGACCAGACTTTACAATGTTTTAGTACCTTCATTTCTAACCTTAAAGGAGCAATGTATAAGAATTGAAACAACACTCCCCTATCAAATTTATACTCTAAACATACAGGGGGCAGCATATTACATATCAAAAACAGTCCTGAATGGGCACCAGAGTCAGGCTAATCAGCCTACCTGTGAACCGGGACTGAACACAGCCTCTGAAACGAGGCCAGACGGTGAATACAGGACCGACGGGGTTACAACAGCTCCAACCAGGGCTCTGACGAAGGCATGGCGGGTTCAGGTGGGCACAGGAGGCATCAAGCGGTAGGGGAGCGAAAGGGCGGTCGGGCATTGGGTAGGTGGCAATAGTGTGTAGAGCCAGAATAGTGTGTGTGTGTGTGTGTGTGTGTGAGCTGAAACAGTGGAAAGACTAACAACAGTTTTGGTGAGTTTGTGCAGTTTGAATGAAGTGTTTTAAGACGAGTTGACAAAGCAATTTGTTCGGTGAAAGAGAGAAACCTGATTTCAGAAAGTGTACGGTTGTGTTATTCAGACATGTTCTCTGGAAAAGTATAAACAGGTCTAAATGTCTCGTTATCGGATCTGCCTGACCTCATCTGGAGGTAGTCTGGCTCTCATTGTGTTCGGAGGTGTAAACACAATCCGTACAATTTGCAGACATCTATACACAGCATTACATTATAGATATGTTTTTAGCTAACATAAAACACAGCTAAAAGGCTGAAAGAGTTGTGCCTCAAATGTCTGAATATGTGTCTATTCTGTGCCAAAGCATTAAAAGATGCATTATTCAACAGAACTGCTTAAAAAATTAAAATGTGGGGGTGGCAATGGAGCAGTGGATTTGACACAGGCCTGGTATGGGAGACCTGGTTTCGATTACTACCATGACATCCACTAATGTGTCCCTGAGCAAGACACTTAACCCCTATGAGCTCCAGATGCGTGTGACCTCTGACATGTATAGCAATTGTAAGTCACTTTGAATAACAGCGTCAGCTAAATTATTAATTATTTGCCAGATTTACAAAAGGGGACCTATAATTAAGAATTTGTCGTCACAAAGTTCAATAACTCACAAAAGTACATGATTTTCTTTAAAACTAGAGTGGATTTGTTGCAACTCAAATTATTCAGGCACAGGGTTTGCTTTAGGACTGAGATCTGAGGAGGATAACAAGAATGCACTAAAAATACCCGGCGTAAACACAAAGGCAAGATTGGATCATTTAATCATCCAGATAATGTATCCGGATACAGATCACATTTTAATACCAGGTATAAATGGGGTGGTGTTTTATCACATTCTGCTGATGAAGTTTTTAAACTCTTAAATCTCTTCAATTCTTACACATTGTACCTTTTAACAAAAGGGAAAATTTCAGAAGTCAATCACCTGAGGCCTAATGTTAAAGAAAACCTCCCACTGAATTTAATCATATAAGGTGTATATTATTGTTAGGCTATAATACAGTATAGCCTTTCAAAATCTCCAAATAAAGGCCTGCTATGCCTCTGAAGTCTGCCTCCCTTGATGCTCCCTGCACCTGAAAGGAGAAAATGGCTCAGCTTAGATTCTATTGAGATGTTATGTGGAGTAACTGCATAAAATATTAAAAAGTGCTTTGGCGCACTGCACTTGCATCCTCAGTATAATTAGTGCTAATAAGGGGCACCCAAAATAGTTTGTTACAACACAAAAAGCAAATGTTGCAATATTCAAATTAATTTTTAGTGGAACCAGCTGCACATTACCTACCAGGCAAAGCAGCTGTTGTGCTCGTCGAGTCTGTACAACCCAGAGTTTGGCAGATCTTTACACAATGATAAGAACTTTTGCAGCTCTGAGGTTGGGGTTCCACTCTGCTGCTGCTGCTGCTTAATGATACAGAAAGTGATGGTTAGAACAACTGCAAATGAAACATTGCGATACTCCAGTGGTGAAAAGTTACAAAATACATTTACTTGAGTACTTTACTGGAGTATTTCCATTTTCAGCTACTTTATACTTCTTCTGCTCCACTACAACTCGGAGGCAAATAATGTGTGTTTTACTCCACTACATCTGATAACTTTAGTTACATTACAGATTCAGATTAATAATACAAAATACAATCAACAAATGTATTATTATAGGTTTACTGATCCCCGAGGGTGAAATTCACAAGTTACCCAGCAGTGTCTAAAGTAATTAAAATAATCCCCACCATTACTAGTTACAACATAATGTTGTACACATGAATACATTGTACTTTAAGTAAAGTTTGATGCTATACTTGTGTACTTAAAATTGTGACTGTAGGACTTTTACTTGTAAGAGAGTATGTCTGCACTGGTATTGCTACTTAAGTATAAGATCTAATATTTCTTCTACCATTACTTTTCTCTGAATAACCAGCACACAAATCATCCTACACAACTGGGAAGGGAAAATAATAAAAAGGAACAAATATCTAAAACAAGAGTAAACGTCACCTTGATGGTGTCATAGGTGTCGGTGATGATTGTGATAAAAAGGCTGAGGATCATGTAGATGAACAGCGAGACAAAGGAGTACAGGTACACTCTGCTGAAAATCCACACTAGGCTGCTCTTCTGTGCCATGTTCTTAAAGGTGGTAAACATGTCGTCTCCGTTGATCAGGGAGAACAGGCACTCTGACACTGTGTTCAAGGACCGAAACTAAAACACAAGCAACGGGTATTATTTTTATCTGTCCTTCATGATCAACAACTGAAATTGGGAGAACCTGATTAGAATTATAAATACTTTCTGGTTTGGCTTTTGTGAAAATCCACTTTTCTTTGTATTTTGTAAACACTCCTTACCTTCTCGTGATACGGGCCAAGGACGATCCAGCCGCACAAACAGTAACTCAGGTAGATGATTCCAGCACAGCAGATGAAACGGATAACATTTGGGAAAGCTGCCCTGAGTGTCAGGATGAGAATCTGAAAATAGCCATACAATATTGTAAAATATACAACTACATAAAAAAAAGTTTAGTGGCATTCCCTTTGCAGAGCCAGTTTTCAGAAATATGAACAGATAGGTAAGAGTGTAACATAATGAGTGCTATTGTTGTAATTGTATTACAACAGTGGTAATTCTTTTTACTACATGTGGCACTTATAGAAACTAATGAACATGGACTGCATCTTACATTATACTTTCTGAAATAGCCCAGGTAGCGGATGACCCCAATCCAGACAAACATGGTGCCTGTCCCAAGGAAGATGCTGCAGACGTTATAACTTGTGAGTACCTAAAAGAAACAGACGTTTACAAAAGTGTCTAATGGACTGAAGGAATGCCTCTAAGTACATGCTAGCTAGCACAGCTAGTATTGATAGAATGTAATATTGAAAAAGACATTGCAATTAACATGGATCAACCTCTATACTGTAATAGCAAATCCCCATTACCTTAGTCTGGATCTCTATCTTGAGAATGGAGCCAACGATGGTCAGTATGTCATTAACAATGATGAGGATATACCAACCATTCACAAACTCAAACTTGTCTGACCAGGGGACTTCTTTACTGCAGTGGTTCCTGCAGTAGAGTGTGTAATCCTATTTACAACAGGGAAATGCAGGTAAGTTGTACTGTTGTTAACTTTCTTTTAACATATCAAATAGAGATACAGGGATGCACTGACTACAGAAGTCCATGTAAGCAATCCACACAACAGGCAAAGGGAAACCAACAAGTCAGCACCAACAAGAATTAAGCGGCAGTCCCAGGAATAAGCACAATCCCAATAATGGGCAGTATATTACATCACTTCCACGTAAGTCACGACTCAAGCAGTAACTTTACATTAGTAGAGTATCTGAGAATTACAGAGTCAAAATAAAGAAGTACTGACAAGATATCTACCCTCGCGTAGCTGCTGTTGTACTGGGGCAGAACAATTAATCCAAGTTTTATTGAAAAAGGGCAATATTTGATGATGTGTGTAAAAATACCATTCAAAATATGGTAGCACTGCAGAGATGACTCAGACTACACATAATTTTCAATGAAAATCAGAATGGTGATTCATTATTCCCTCTAATGTCCCAAATGATTTCGCAATATCAGTCAAAATAATCACAATCAATAAAACAGTACTATGTTGTACCCATAATTAATAAACACTTTTAATTAATGGACAGATAAAACAAATAAGTAGACAAACTGACTGAGCAGGTTAAATGTTTTGCCCCAGACTGATGCTGTGACTTTCATCCTTCTGATTTTAAGGGCAGTGGAAAATGTTTCTGGCATTGACTTACCTCCATTTTATGAATACAGTATGAACAGATACTGTATCAAACAATCATACATTTTATTCTTTTCGTCTGAGCAAATAAAGTACTACTTGGGATAACAAAAATAATTGCTGTCTTTTATGGTCACTTCAGTTTGCTTACAAATTGCAGCCGAATCCCATTGATCACTGAGCGTGTGCAGAGGGTGAGGGAGGTGATGCAGATTATAATGATGAAGCAGTCAAAGAGCACAGTCAGGTGTATGTTTCTAGCAGCTGAGGGAACAGAGAAATTAAAATGTTTTATCTGAAAAGGATGAACGTCTTCAAACAGATTTTCTGTGCAGCAAAGTCTGAAGCTTAGAGAGCAGTCTTAATGAATCCCAGGAATCCTGAACACAAGCTTAAAGCAATACAGATTATTCCTTTGTACATACTAAATTAAAAAAAAAACTTACACGCTCCAGTTACTTTCCAGTCTCTGCATTCATTGATGTCAACATCATTTTCCAGGTCAACCTTTATCCTGCCACTGTGAGCATGGTTATTAAAAGTGATCTGTTAACCAGACAGCCATGTTTAAGGGAGAGAACATTTTTTACTTCATCCTTACAGCCAAACCAAATAGCTGACTATTCAATTCTGAAGCCCTAAAGATAATATTTAACTATGTAAATAGCTAGCAATGAGTGCAAACAGCCTTCATTTTAAACTGCTCAAATTTGTGTCCTCATCGTAACTTCATTAAATAAACACAGGACTGACCCTGACTCTTTTCATTTTAACTTCTATCTGTGCTGAAGTGATCAGATGTCATATCACTGCTTTTCAAAGACAAAATTTGATTGATCCGCTATAGTTTACTGAGCCATGAGGACAAGTCATGAAACATACAATAACAGCAAAGTTGTAGCAGTCTGGCAGCTCTCGATGTCTCATGGTCTGTAAGTTTATGGCCTTGAGAACAAATGTGATCTTGACAGACAACATCCTGGAAGACAGAACAGGTACATTAACTTAGTTTTTTTTTTAAATCATACATCCCAGAGAGGAAAAGGATTTTGTCTTAAGAAAAATATAGTTACATACAGACCTTTTGAAATGCAATTTAAAATGTGCGTTCCGCAATGATGAGCGATACATCGGATAAACTTTGAGGCACTCTGTTAGATGCAAGCCACAACAAAAAGAAATTTGAAATGTTTTGCAAATAAAACTCATTAAATCTGGTTATGTATTCTGTTTATCCTTTAACTCAATCAAACAATCATGCATACATACCAGTTTCCACTTGCGCATCTATTTCAAAGGTGTCATTTCCGGGGAAGATGGTACTGTTTCTGTAGAACTCCTGACATAGTAAGAGTGGGATGTAGATAGTGCCGTTTTTCCCATATTCATGATTGCCTACTGTGATGTTGTGCAGAACTCCATACTAGAAATGAACAATTGAAATAGATAAGATAAAGTCAGGTGAAAAAGTAGCTGCAGTAGTTTAGGTTGTTTGGGTGAACTGCCATTGTACAGTAGATTCATGCAGTTAATTTATACAAATTCAAACAGCATGAGCAAAGTCCAATCAATCTGTCACATGATCAAAATAAACTGACACACCAACAAATTTGAGCTTATAAAAATACCCCTTCCAGGTGCTCTTTGTAAAACGGAGGAAATAAAAAAAAAAAATGTGGCAGTTACCTGTTCAATGATGTAGTCATGTGATCATAAACATCAGCCTGTCTGTAAACAGCATACATATCCATGTCTCCATCAGCATAATCTTTCAAGAAGAGGTGCTTGAATGTCATCAGATTTTCCTCCTTGAAAGTGACAACCATCTGGTTGCTCAGGCCAAAAGACACTAACTGAGATTGTGAAAAAAAGACACTTGTTATCAGGATGATGATATAACACAATTAACATATTGGTCATGTTTGAGATTACCTGGATAGTAATAATGGCAATTTTGATGATCTGGATTATGAGTTTCCATGGTTTTCGGCCACGAGCGTGGTACTTCTCACATGGGTTCATGAAGTAATATTTGATCTTCCTTCTGAGACATTCCACGTTGTTGAGATCCTCCACACACTGATGTTGGTGGTTGGCCAAGGGAGGGGGGACACTGGACTCGTCCATATCTACAATAAACTAAATATTGGTGACTTACGTGCAATAAATTGACATTATATAAAAATTGGCATTATAACATTACTCAGATCAATGAAATGTGACAATTAAATATAAAATGATTGATAACATAAACATTTACATGTTTGTACTTAGGGCTGGACGATACAGCCAAAATGTTATCACGATAAAAAAAAAAATTTTCCTAGATAATTGTCACGTTAAGTATCAAATCGTTATTTCTTTTGAGTTTAAAGGATGATTTTTTTCTCCTGAGTGAAAGTTGAAGAAACCTGATGGTTAATTGTGGTTTAAACTCTTCTTTATGGTCAGAACAAACACTTGATGCCAAAGAGTGGATCACTTCACAAAACTGAGGTAGAACATTCAAAACAATTATGATAAACTCTTGAGAAAAAATTAACTAAAAGTGAATAAAATCAAACCTTTATTGAATATTTATTGAACATTTGTTTTGTTTTATCGCGATAATTATCGTTATTGTTTTATTGTCCTGCCATATTTGTACTTCATAAAAAAAAGTGTAGGCTGGCTTGAGCATGGAGGGATTTTAGTTAACATGTATTACTTTTGGATTTCATTTTATTGAATGTGCATAAAGGAAACAAAAATTAGGTAGAACAGAAACACTTCTTAAGATTACGAAATCCAATACACTTGCCTTTCAAATTCAAAAGTTGAATGCAAACATAACTGTACAGAACTGAAATATCATATGGTTTATTGCAGGGCTTCTGTACTTTATTGCATTAGATTGTACAGGTGTATCTGAAAGTGAAATCCCTTCGGCATAGCTCTAACTTGTCTTTACCCAAATTGACTAAGCAGCAATTGTCTTTGAAGAAGAAGGAATTGTAGTCAGGTGTACTTGAGCATTGTTGAATAATACACAGCAGATCACATTGTGAAACCTGATCAACTTCTACCTTTGCGGCAAACTATAAAATATTCATTAATTGTCGTGTGAGAGTTAAAATGACGTCCTGTCGATCCAGGCCAACAGTGAACAGGAATTAAATGAAACATAAAATTAGCCAGTGGCCTACTTACCACTGTCCCGCACCAGGTTAATTACCGTTTGGTTGCATCCACCAGTGGTCTGTGGTTGTGTTCAGATGTCTCTCAATTAAAACTCATAACGTACTCAAATTGCTGTTGTTTTTTAATTGTGAATGTCATGACTTAAGTAAATAAACTCGACTTCTGGAGAATGTGTTGTCTTGTGATGTGTTGTCCATAGGTGTTGTCTTGTGTGAGCGAAGTCCTCAAGCTGTGTGGCTCAGGTAACGTTTTACAACCACAGTTTACGACTTGACGTCATTCCACTGCTGGGACATGATTGGCTCTTGGATCTGTCAGTCAATGTTTTTTTGCTGTAACCCCTGGAAACCAAACAGTCCCACTGATGAGCGGCGAGCTGAAATTGTGGAAAGGATTTCAAGCAAACTGCTACGGTTTAACTACCGGTAAACTTTATTTATTCGTTTATAAACTGTAGTTGTGTAGTAGCCGCATCTCTAGTGCGATTATCGTTAACTGCGAATAGCAGAAAATTACATTTTCATCGCTGGAATTTATTGTGATATTGTTCGTTTTATCGTAATCTTCCTTCCCCATTTTATATCATTAGTTGTAACCTTCGCAATAATAAACTGAAATACACCATAAAATGTAAGTCAGACTTGGCTGAATTTTCTATTTACAGATAAAGTATATATTTAGATAGCCTTCTTAAAGGGCAGTGCAAAAATTGCAAGGCAATTCTCTTATCCTCCACAAGATGTCGCCAAGTGAATTGATAATGATTGATTAAAAATGTGCAGTTTGATGTTTTGCTAGGAGAATGTTTTCAGAGAATTTGTACATAAACCTTCTCTTTCTCATCAGTGAAGCCATCCTAAGTGCAACGATGCCACCTACAAGACAAAAAGTGCAACAAGCAGTGCAGGCAGTAAGGGGAAAGGTAAAGGTGAGGGTGTGAAAACTAGTTAATGCATGTAAATACAATGCATGTTTGTCTAAGGAAGATCAAATGGAGAGTTAAAAAATGGTGACTGTTACTTCCCTTTCAGGCAAAAAGACTCAGTCACCTGCACACATGGAAAAGCCTGGTAAGAGAAAATTATTCACTGTTTTACTTATGTATTTACTATGATGAAACTATGATGTAGAAGAGACAATTAAAATATTTTCTTTTAGCTTAGTGCATTCACAGTCATGTCAACTTGAAATAAATAGGTAAACAATTTCAGAAAAAGTGGTGGGTTAACTGGCCTTTGGTTATACTCGGCATAGATGCTGCTACCTTAAAGTAAACAGTTTTTGTTGTAGGTGCCTGCAGGAATTGCAAATTTGAATAATCTTAAATTACATTATCTAGAGATCTAGTAAATCTTACAAGGCCTTTGGATACAGAAAACTAATTAGTTGTATAAATTCTAATTTGAACCTTGTATTTGATTACCTTTTATTTATTTGACAGAGCAATGAATTAATGAAAGTTACAGGACTGTGAAAAAGCTTTGAAGCTGTTTTGAAGACAAAGGGTGGTCACACCAAATATTGATTTGATTTGGATTTCTCTTCTGTTCATTCACATTGCATTTTGTTACTTGAAAACTAAAATCTATTAACATGTCTATTATTTAAAGCATTCTTACTTTACAGCATTTTTTCCACACCTGCCTAAAACATTTGCACAGTACTGAATAAACCAATTATTCAGACTTGTCTTAGATAATGTAGGAGAACTGTCTTACTTTAATGTAAGGATGTAACAAGTATGACTGAAACTAAAAATCCGTTGCATAGCCTTTGGACATGCTCTCTACTTAGCTGTGGGTCCCCATTGTCATGGCTTGGTTTACTGTCAACATACCAGCTTTGAAACCAAGCTTTTGGTCACAAACAGTGGTGTTAAGAGTCCTGGCTGTTTTGTACATGTATTCATTGTATTCATTAATTTCACCAATTTTCATCTTATACAACCAACAGTAAAAGAACAAGGTTGTTAGATCTCCCAAATTAACACATCCAAAATAGATTTATCCTAACCATGACCTAATCCTGATCGTAAACGTCACCTAAAACCAAGTCGTAACCTGTAATTAAATTTGTTAACCTTTTGGGGACCAACGTTTTGTTAGTCCACATCAAGTAACAATGCCTATATGGTGGCCCACTGACTTCATCACTCCTGAACAGGTTTCTCAAGGACCTTGATGATATAAGTGATAGATGATCATATCAGCTGATACAGGTCTATTGTTCAGGCTTAATTTCTTCACTATTAAGAGAAATGAAAACAAACAGCCATACTTACATTGTACTGTGTTATAGTATAAATATCTTACAATATACAGTCGCAGCCTACAAGTGCAGTTTAATTGCATTCTTTAGGGTTATGGAACATTGCACATCACACTCTCTTTGTCTCTCAAGCAAATATTTCCCATGAATACATTTAGTTGACACATAACTCTGTGAAATGAGGGGTGTGAGTTTCCACTACAATGATTTGGCGTGAGGCCTAAGTGGTGTGAGTGGGAAAGGTTGACACACCCAGCTGGGAAGTGGTTACTTAAGCTGTACTTTAGCATTCCAAGGGTCCCCTCAGCAACCTTGTGGAAAGACTTTGAAGAGAGAGACCGCAAGCAGGATGAAAACTATCATTATGCAGGGTCCTGTTTACTGTAGTGTGCCCTGGGCTGAGCCTGGCCTTAGATATGGAGGAGTCTCCATATATTGTTTATTAAGACAACTTTGCTGTGGTGCTGGCGCAGCACTGCGGTTTTATATAGTAACAATCCTGGTTAGATGACTGTAACTGAGCAGTTTATGTTTCACATTCATGCATTATTGATCTGCCTCTCATATGCCAGTATTGTGGAAAATAGAGCAGTAAGCAGTGGGACATTGCTTGTAGGCAATTTTACAAGGATTACATTTCATCCTGTGATTTTGTAGGGTGGTCCACCCTGCAAGTAGAGGCAGGTGAAGGATCAGAGGCATGGTTGTGCGTTTGATGAGAAAAGGCAGTGGTGACTTTAAAGCCTGCCCACTGTACAAATATCCAACGTGGATAAGTGAGGTTTAGATGCTTAGTTGTGGAATCTCTACATTGCCACTCATCACGCTTGTATCTCTGTTTTCAGCACTGTTTGCATCTAAATACAAATTACATTTCTGCTTTCTTCCCATATGTCTGTCAGTCCTGTCTCATTCTGGTGAAGATACGAAAACAAATTTTATATGCAGGACATAATCAGACATTAAACATTTATATTTTTATTCTAACAGTTTTACTATGACACTCCATTTTTAAAGGAATCTTGTTATGTAATATTGGTGCATATCATTTCAAGAAGATATTTTAAAGATGCACAGACAATGACAGCAATTTGTTGTGTACAGACTGCAGGATAGAACACATAGACATGAAAAACCTAGCTTATTATTAGTATTATAGTATATAACACCATCAGTATCAAATCTTCTGGCTTCTGACAAAGACACCTCAACTTATCGTTTCAGAATCATCCTAAAGATTGACTTTATGAGGCCATACTCGCTACAGTTTGCAGGAGAGGAGAAAGAGAATATGAACACACTGTGTTTCTGAATAAATTCACCAAAACAAAAAAAAAGTATCTAAAGATCTCTAACAATGTTTTGAAATAGAAGTAGCTATAACTTTTTGGAAAGTCACCCAGCAATCAATTGATGCTATTATTGAGTGCTTGGCCCAAATATTCATAAAATCCAAGTCTCTGTTGATCGTGAACTCTTTCACCAAGGTCATCCTGAAGATATCTTCCCCATGGTCCTGACATCAGCCACCCAGGAGCACTTTGGTTGCCGCACAGACAAGGACGTCACAATAGAGAGCCCTTACAAGCTGCTGAAAAAAGACGACATCATACAGGACATTAAGACAAGAGCTGCAGTGTCCGATTTCAGGCCTGTGAAGCAGATTGTGCTGGTGAGGCTGATCCATTGTCATACAGATCGCTCAGACAATACCCCCAAGACACTGTGATGATATACAGACTCCCAGGTTACAAAAATGTGGGAACAGAGCAGTAACCAGTTTAACTTCATTTCCCATCTGTCTCTGATCTTGATGAAATATGTGGTAACCACCACTTTTACTTTATGCTGTCATGCCCATTCTACTTCAGTACATTACTCTGATGTGGGACCCATACAGACTGATCTGTTCTTTGGTGATGCGTGTGTGGTTGTCTGTCTTTTTCTGTGTTCCTAAATCCTACAGCATCAGTCTTCATGTCTGAAATCCACCTCACTCCGTTGCACACTATCTTGACCAAATTCTTCCTGTAGTTCCCTTGTGGTTGCCAGAATCCATTCAAATACACCACATTACTTTTTTTCTAAAGAAACGCTGTCATGAAAATAGCTGAATGTTGAAAATTCTTTTATCTGACAGGACTACCCAGAGGATGAGATCTTACTGGTTTTTGACAGGGACTTCACCTATGATCAGAGCTTCTACCTGGTTCTGACACCAGAAGCTAAGGACAGAATCCTCAACGTAAGCAGACAGTAGTTTTGGTTATGGTAACAAAATGCACTGCTTTTGCTCTTACTAATTTCATGTCCACTACTTGGTGTTTTTGTTATAAATATAAATAAATATTTTCCTAGTCATGAGGATAAATACCTTAATCATTTAGCATGGGCATATTAGCACCAGTGCAGGGACAATATTTTATTTCACTTTTATTCTGGTTAACAATTTTTTAAGCCGGAATGTTTTATATTATTTACTTTCCTTTTATATTATAGATGTGTACGCTGTTTTATCACTTACCGCTAACAGGAATCGCTGGTAACAGTGGTCATACATTTGGAGGGCCCATGGGGCTTTGGTAGCTCGAATATTTTTAATGGCTGATTAAAATAGTTTAAGACTTCTAGATCTATTTAACTATCTTGCTGTAACTTCAAAATGTGGAAAGTTCATAAAAAACCCTCACCTTCTACTTTAGTGTGTTTCCTGTTCTTTATACTGTATACTCTTGTAATTCTGTGTACTGCAGCCCCCAGAGCCTGAGACACCAGAGGTGTTTCAGAATGAAGTCAATAAAATCCCAGCACCAAGGCAATGGATATCTCTTGGTAGTGAGCAGGAAATAGAAGAAGAATCTATCAAAGAGACCAGAGAAAAGGTACTGCAGTATATAAAAAACACATTAAATATGCACAGTATATAAAAAACACATTAAATATGTCCTTCCATTTCACCTCTCTATTTTGTCCCGGTTTTGTCTTAAGTTGTTGTACAAGTTCACCAGAGTGCGGAGGAAGTTTGGATTACCAGTCTGTTTTTCCGACCGCAACGCTGCAGATGCCAAGGATGCCTACCTAGAGTGTGCTTCCTATCAAGACAGCAGATTCAGCATCAAGAAGATGCAGAGGGACTGCGGGGTTCAGTCTGTTCCCAGACTGCAGAGCAGCAGTGCTCAGACACAGTGGTATGGCAGCAAATCATTACACATAAAAGGGAATTGTTCTACGGGGGGGAAAGCACTCTGCCAGCATCTGCCAGTCTGGTGAAATAATTTTACCTGTTTCAATGCATTAAGAAAATAAGATTTTAACACAGAATGCAATATTAAATCCCTTTGTAAGACAATTATTTTTTTATATGCCTTATACTAGGTGAGACAGATTATATAGCTGTATATTAGTAGTAGTTTAGTATAGTTTCTCCACTGCAACAAATATTGTATAATTATTTTCTGCCCACTTTGCAGGAAGTTTCAGAAGAATGTCTTTACCCAGTACGTGCCAAGAGAGTTAAGTGATGAAGAAAAAGAGAACAACCTCCAGTCTGAGAACCTGAAGAATTTTTGCAACTCAGTGACCCCCAGGTAAAATGAAATGTTCAAGTGATGTCATGTTCTGCTTTCTATACTGGATAGCAAGACTGATAGTCAACCCAGCCAACTCAATAGATTAGATTACTGTATCGGCCTCAGGGTACTCACACTCATCTAATACCACTGTAGGAGCATCAAAATATTTAAAGGGAGTACTTTGATGATGCTTTCACCTTCCAACTGTACTATATTTTGTGCTGTCATAGTTGAATTCACAAACAAAAGTTTCAATAACACATTGTAATTGTACATATTCCCACACCCCCAATCTTCCTTGGTTCTCAGGTAAGAGATAATTAAACATCTGGAGTTTAGAAAATGTTGTACCGTAGCTATGGAGAAATACAATGGAGGGCAATGAAAAATTATGCACACTTAGATGAAAGTGTTTCCGCTTTACCTAAAAACATTTTTTGTTTTTTTTCTTTGCAGGGTTTTGCAAGTCCTTCAGCAAGAAGAGATCATGAATGTGTTCATTGATGACTGGAAAGCTCTGGGCACAGCAGCTGAAGACGGTGACTGGTCTGGGAAGGTTTCCGAAGGTTTGATACTTTATCAGGCCTTCACAGACCAGAAGTACACCAAGGACAAGAAAATCAGCAGCATTAATTGGCACCCTACCATCTACGGTAAAGTACAGAATTCATCAGAGAACAGATTTCTCCGCTGGGTTTGAACAGTGAAAAATTGCTCACACAATTTTGCATTAATGCATTGTATTGTATATTATAATATTAGTATATTCTTAGTGAAACAAAATGTTATTTGGATCAGATTAGTTTACTTAGTGTCATTTTAGAACATGTTCAGTAGATTATGGTTTTAAATGTCTATAATAGCGTTGGGTTGAAAAGTGCTGGCAAGGATAGTTTTGATGGACAATGCTGGCAATGATTATAACAAAAATAAATAACATCCATTCTCCCTGTTATTACACTGTCACTAACCAATATCAGAATTTCAAATCCTCATCTAAAAGCATTACTGTTCTTCAGTACTGCTTTGTAATGTTGCTTAGCTGTCATCCCCCATAAGGTACACTTCCAGCAAGACTGATAATAATATCAGTGCAAAAACATGTAATCAGTGCGAATATATGTTATTCAAAGAAGGGGTCAGAGATAAACCACAGATTTCTCAAACTCTGTAAACATATTTAACATCTGGTTTTTTTAGTGTAGTTAGTTAGTGTAGTTGATACAGAGTATGATGTGTTTTTGATGTGGTAGGTTTGATCGCTGTGGCTTTGGCAGAGAAGAAGAATGAGCAGTTGAACGAGTCCAAAACGTTTGTCGTCAGACCATCTCTCATTCTCTTCTATAGCTTCTCCAACCCCTCTAATCCACAGGTATGGAAAGTGTATAATAGGCACCCTCTGAGTCAATGTGGAAAGTGGACAAGTTGGAAAAGAAGAAAGACAGAATTTCTCTACCTTCTCACCTCACATCTGTTTGAGATACACTTTGATAAGAAACGGCTGGAAGGATTTGCTTTGTGCTGTTATTCAAGACCATTATTTGCTTCAGCAAAATTTGATAGGCTCTATTGATTTGACCCAGGCTTTCAATCAATAAAATTGAGCTGCTAAATCACTCAAAAGTAATATGAGTTCTGGATGATGTATGCCTTAACTGGTGCATGTGTCATGCTTTGGTTTCACTGTCTGCTGGAACAGGGATCAAAGTGGTAAAGGGTAATGTGTAGCGGAAACCAGATACATTATATAATGGAAATAAATCTATTTATTTAGTGTGGGGAGCAAAGTGCTGTAGTTTAGTCTCGCTGCTAATCTAAACTCCAGCAAGGTGCTACAAAATGACTTCTTTGTAATACCATGCTGCCCCTCCTGGGTCTATTTCCACTTGTGCCTGAAGAAGTGGAATCTACTGTATGCATTTGGTTTTGTGGATTAAAAGCTAAGCTTTGTATGGGGAGAATAAATAAATACTTGGGATGGCAAGCACCCAATATGTAGAAATGTCTACTTTGAAATATAATAATTCTGCCATATGTATGTTGGTTTTCTGTGTTGTTTGCAGTTGCTTCTGGAGTGCCCAGATGACATTTTTGCCTTTGAGTTCTGCCCCTCTGATCCAAATATTATTGTTGGCGGCTGCATAAATGGCCAGGTGCTGACTTTGACTCTACTCTGCATTTCTGCATTACTGCATCTGCTGCCTTTTCTGCCTCATAGTAGTTTTTGTACTTTACCACTTCCCCAAGCCCCTATTTTTATTATAAGAGAAAATTAGATTAATATGATTTATGTAATACACCTTTGGTCACTACTAGTCATAATCCTGTACAGTTCCCATGTATTATTTCTGTTCCCATTCTGTTTTAAATTGACATTTTCCCTGATTTATGTGTTTTTCACATGATGAAGTGTATTTAGCACACAGCTCAGATATTGATCTCCTCTAACTGATTTGCATTGCTATTGTCTCAGGTTGTGTTATGGGACATTTCTGCTCACGTTACGCACTTACAAGGAACACAGCCAACTGGTAAAAAGGTCTCTGTCAACACTGACACATTCGTAAGTACCCATATCCTGTCTCTAACATGCACAATAATACAATTATACATGATGTTTTATATTAGTGTTGGTGTATTAAATCTGGTATCAGTTACTTTAAATATTTGGCTAGTGATGATGTCAGTTTGGTTTATTCAAGTAGGGGTCCTCAGTTTATCAAAGCATGCAACATATTTGCTGTAAAAGACAGGCAGTACTCTTCAGTGGGGCTGTATGACAGAGTGAGATGATGATACATTGACTCCTGAGTTCTCTCCTCATCCTCACCCTTTCATTAGATGGGAATGCAGTGGCCTAATGGTCCTTTTCAAGCCAGCCACAGCCATCAAAACTAGTCCCACAAACGTACTGGTGATGCCAGGAGTAAATCTCTAAGCAAATTTATATAATTACATGACCCTACTACTAAACGAAAGCACCCTGTTAGGCCTCACAAAAAAACCCTCTATTATTTTGTAAAGTAATAAAGGAAAGGTGGGGGGAGAGAGAGGTAATGATAAACTTGGGCTCAGATTTAAACCCACACCATAGCAAGTACATTAAATCCACCGTAGCCTGTTGAGACATCCAGAGGCCATACATTAAACCAGTTCTGTTCATTAAAGCCTGACCTCCACTGACGTCTTCTACTTGGCTGCTGTATTTAAATAGGCACATATGCCCCCATCATCAACCCCCATTTGCTTTGTGTGTGTTTTTTGCCTCTACAGTGGAACAGCTGTCTTCATCCCTGTCCTCACTACTTCCTTCTCTTTTGCTTTCCCCTCTCCCACCGTCCGCACCTCCCTCTGTTCTCTTTGTCCTTGTTTGCTCTTCATTCCCCAGAGTCAACAGCATCAGCTCACATACTCCAGCTGTTACACAAGCCTTCCATCTTTCACCATAGTTTGTCCCCATAGATGATAACACACGCAAGCAAATCAGATTGCTGCCCTCCCTGGTGTTTGCAGTGTAAACGATGGCAGTTGTAGGCTTTATTTCCATATTGAGTGCTGTGAAAGCTGTTCTACACCAGCACCTGTTGCTAGCTCATCAGATAAACGAAGAATAAAAATCCTCCTGTATAGATTTGTGTTCTGTTTGAACCATTTAAATCCAACTGCACTGCACAATCAAACAAGCAGATGTATGTGCACTCAGAGTTAGCATGCAGCAGCATGAGTAGATGTTTAAAACCAGTAATCTAAATAAAATAAAAAAGTAGAAAAAGATAAATTATTTTTGACGTGCAAACTGTGTCACAATCAGCAATCAGAAGTTTTGCACTTGTTAAATGTTGAACTGTTAATATTATACCCTGTTGCCAGGTTTTATATCTAGTATTGCAAAAAGTGTGCCATAATCCATATTGCTATTAACACCAGTGTGCTATTTGAATCTTTATGCTACGTGACAGCAGCACTATTATGATTCAGTGATACTGAAAAAAATCCTTTGTTACACATTCTGTACAATTTGGTAAGCGTACTATATTTGAAAATCCTGCTGGATCATTTTAGGATGGCTGTTCAGCACTGTTTAAAGATTGAATTGTCTGAGCTCACTGTACATGCTGTGCCTTTTGTGTCTGACCTCCCATCAGGACCTCGAGAACAACAAAGAGAATAAGACTCCCGTTGTGTGCTACTGTGCAGTGTCTGCCTTAGACAGCAGCCACAAAGCACCAATTACTGATGTCCAGTGGCTGCCACCAACATTTGAGGTATACAGAGCTGAAGGGCAGGGGTTGGAAGGTGTAACAACTGCAGACTAAAAGAACATTCCACAAAGTTTATCAGTATTTCATTTGGTCTGTCTTGATTATTAAAAGGTGTTTTGTGTGACTATACAGCAGCAAAACATTATTTAATGTTTTCTTCTTCTCAAGCTTATTTTATTATATCTAATGTAAACGCTGGCATAGTTTCCAACACACTGGAGCCAACTAGAGTACATTTTAATCCTTCACCTCTAAGTCTCAAATTGATAGGAACACATTAAACACTTAAATGATCAGAGTTCTTATTATATGTTTCTATATCTAGTTTTAGAATGTTGGCAGAGTTTTTAACTGACTAAGGTTAAAAGCCACTTACATTTACATTTTCTCATTTGGCAGACGATTTTATCCAAAGCGACTTACATTTGACTTGAATATAAACAAGACTGACAGGAGGCACAGGGAAGTAGAAAAGGCTGAAGTCAGGGCAGAGAAAAGGCTGTGAAGGTTAGAATGCAACATATTGAGGGTATGATGATAGGAAGTGCAAGATTCGAGGAAGGTATACAGGGATGATACTGTGAGAGAACAAAAAATAATAAGATAAAACATAGTTGGTGCTGATCCAGATCAAGATGGGTTCCTTTTGTACTGACAGACTTTCACTTGCAGATCATAATGTCTGCCATCCAGTTTCCGTACGCTAATAGTGGCCCAGCATGAAAGAAAATCTTTTTTTCTAAAAATGTATTGCCCTAAAGTGATATTTGCTAAAAACCAAGAAAATGTTAGCAGCCATAAAAATGTCCATACAGTAATAATGAACAGTGGTCTCACACTGATTCAAGTCCACAGAATCTAAGCATGTTGCTTTGTGTTCGTACAATCTTTTTCATTAAACAATGAAGAATGAATAACGCTATAATTCTGGTTTCCTGTTGCTGCCTATCCCTCGTGTCTATACAGCCAACTGCAATAAATCATGACAAACATTGGCATTCATCTGGATAAGTAAAATAAGGCAATCATCAAAGTGCCCCCCAGGGCAAATTTACCTCCCATATATCTTCAGGAACCTTGTTCACTATTGTCAGCTCTTTACATTACAAAGCCTGACTAGACAGACATTTGTTGGTTTTGTGACTCACTCTCTCTGATTAGGTGACCAGGACTGGCTTACCAGTGGAGAACAAGTATAACATTTCTGTTCAGGTCGTCACCTGCTCCCCTGACTTGTAAGTCTTATACAGGAAGATGTTGAATTAAAATGTTAAATTTATGAAATGCTGTCAGCCTGAAGTGAATATAACCAAGTGATATATGAGAGATTTTGACTTAACAAGCATGCGTGTTTGTTTATAGTTGGCAGCTTCTGCCAGGTACAGAACATATGCATTCCTTCTATTACTATTCCCCTTTACCCTGTTCACTTTTGTCTGTCTGTGGAATTCAGTATGATCAGTGACTGGTTGTATTTTCTCATCAGTTGTACTTGTGTGTTGTGATAGCACTGTACATGCTGGTAAAAGCTATTCTGCCAGTGTTGTTGGTGTTTGTGTATGCGTGTGATTATTTTCAACTGACATAATTATGATCTACCATGAATTACTATAGCTGATCTTTTGTTCCACGTGAGGGTGCGGAAGAAGTGTCCAGATCTTTTACGCAATTCTACAATGTAGAAATACTTTGTTACCAGTAAAAGTCAAATGTTAAAAAGTTGTTGATTACATTTTTGTATTATCAATATGAATCCAGTAGCCTAACTAGTAAAGCAAGTAGAGCTGTCCCCGACTAAGGGTTTACATAGTCCAATCAGAATCGTCAGGTCCTGCCTATTGTCTACTAAATCATGTGTGGTTTTGTGCACAACGATGGGGGGGGGAAGCCGCGGAGCTGCAGTCTCCATTCATTCAACTTACACTGTAAATATGCATATAAACTGAGGTTTATTGAAGACCATTTTCTCTCTCTCTCTTTCTAGCATACCTTCAGTTTTGCATGCATGCCGTGCTGCCGACAACTGCATGCACGTCGCGGCTCCTCGTGGGTCTATTTCAAGTAGCCGGCTATTTAAAAACTATATAATATTCTTTGTGTGGTTCATCAACAGTGATAAATTATCCGAAAGTCCCGCAAGGCACGGACAACTCGGCACAACACCAGTGAAGCTGGGGCTCCGTCTCTTCAGAAAATGCCCGCTGCGGATGGTCGGTGATCGTTCCTGAATTTACGCATGGATCCATGATGATAGAGAACTATAGAAATTATTGGCAATAAAGCATGCTGTCAATATTTTCGAGACCCCCCAAAATTTCACAAATCATGCTTTTAGGGGAGCTGATATCTTATTTAGGGGAGCTAAGCTCCCCTGGCTCCCCCCTAGTTTGCACCCTGCCTACTGCGTTGAAAAAGTTAAGTAAAAGTATGTAAGTAGGCGATGAGCTGGAAGATGTAGATTAAAAATAAAAGTAGCCTACTCAAAGCAGAAAGAAAATTGTCCCGTATGACTGTATACTATTATATATTCTATCAGTAGATTATTATTCCTCATGCATTAATGTAGTTGGTTGAGGTTGAACTATTTTGTATCAGACTGCAATTAATGATTATTTTTATTTTAATCAGCTGATTATTTTCTCCATTAATCGAAATAGTGAGAAATGTTGTCACAGTTACCCAGGGCCCTAAGTGGGACCTTCACAATGCTTATTTTGTCAGTCCAAACCTCAAAATGATTGACAATACATTAAAAGCAGCAAATCTTCACGTTTGTGAAACTGGAACCATGAAATGTTTTTACATGAAAAATGACTAATACCAAAACAGTTGCCAATTAAATTTCCGTCAATTAGCCTAACTGATGTAGTTCTACTAGCTGGACTTGTATAAACTGTTAAGTAATTTAATTTATATCAAAACATCCTATTTTTTTTAACTTTCATACACATACATACACATACATTTTTAAAAAAAGTAACTAGTAACTGAAGCTGTCAGATAAAGTAAAAAGTTTAATATTTCCCTTTGAGATGTGGTGAAGTAGTAGAAAGTGGTTCAGTACAAATACCTTGTGTACATAAGTACAGTAGTACTTTGTCCACCACTGGGCTTAGCTTTGGCTACCTGAAACTAAGGAAAGGACTAGAGATATTTTCCTATATTTTGTTTCTGGACAGAAAGCTATTATCCATCATGAAGGTGAAAATGGCTAGCCTTGAGGCACAGTGCTTCAAGTGGGAATCCCCTACCGCTGTCATCGAGGCATTAAAATGTGCAACAAACAATTACAACACAAAACACTATTTACAAGCTGAAATGTGTAGCCTACTCTCACGCACAGCTTGGCATACATGTGTAGGGCAAGTTCTGCCATCCTACTGTAGGCCTATTTGTAAAGAACTGCTGTTCAGTGGGCTTGTTTGGGGCCAAATTTCTTTTTTGTTGTGATACATTTGTATTTTTGAAATATAAGTATATATATAAATAATCTTTTATCAGATCTACCTATTATTATAATTTGTATTTGTTCGGATCAGTTATTTATAGGTAAAATCTAACTGCCGAGGGGCCACTGCGGCAAATATTTGAGTGGCTCCTCCTCTAACACGCTTTATCTCACTCCAAACTTTTGATCAAACTTGAGAGCCCTGGGGTCAGCACTAAAAGCAAGCTATAAAAAAGTCTGTATTTGTCTCTGAAAATACAGTACTTGAGTTAATGTATTTAGTTACTTTCCACCACTGTGTGTGGGCCACTGTCATTTGCTGTGACATTCAAAAAACAGCATCTGCCAGGTTCTCCATGGACTTGTGTCAACAAAAACAAAAACAACACTAGCTTATTCTCCCTCTGCTGACCACACTGTATTGTGTCAGATATTTAAGAGATGTGCAGTCTATGAGGGTACTGTCTTTAGTAGCCAGATTACAGGTCCCACTAGACATCATTGTTAGTCATCATCGCTTACACACAAACATGTTAGAGAATTCTTGGCCTGATATGTGTGAATGTATACGGCAAGACATGATGAAGTTGTTGAAATAGTATACTGATACTTTATTTCAGCATCTGTGAGAAAACATTTCCAGTGTGTGTTTTATGTGTTTGAGCTGTGAAATAATAATTGTGGAGAGTTGTGTAACATGTCATCTAATATACCAGGGCCCCTTTTCAGAAAGCAGGATTAGTGAGAACTCTGAGTATGTATGTTGGAGCTTCACTGATGATGTGTTTTTTTTCATTCCCATGCACGCGCTTCCATCAGGTTCAACATGCTAAGAGTTGATTGAGCTAATTCTCATCAGCTGTTTTGGAACCGCCTATCAGCAATTTATTTTTATTTGTTTAGCGAGTGGACTATGCTTCTGACTGCAGTGTGCAGAAGTTGAAGTGAAGTATCAGCCTCTAGCAGATGTTTGTAGCTTTGATATAAATGCAGACTGCTTAGTATATATTTGGAAGTCTGGGTAATGTCCATAGATTGGTGGTGAAGGAATTGTAGATGAAGTGATGCCAAAGTACTGCTCACTTTCTGTGGTTATTAGCAGACAGTGCTGCTTTTTGTGCCTTTAATTAGAGAATGACGCAGGTCTCCAAAAAGTCTGTATCAGTTAATAATTTGTTTTTATTAATATTCAGGTTGATGTAAAGATTTTGTCTGTGTCTCTCTCTCCCTCTACAGTGCTCTAATGTTCTGGGATGTGCGAGGATCAAAACTGTTGAGCCAGTCAATGTCAGACATGAAGCCAAATGTGGATCAGAAGACCCAGTTGACACTCTCCACTGTCCCTGACACTTTCAAACACCTGGACCGGATATGGAAACCCCTTTTCAGGGTACTACAGGGTTTGAGGGTGCAATGGGGATGCACAAAACTCATGATTTGTGTAGAATCATAACTCTTTGGGACAAAAGTTTCTTAATGTAAATATTAAGATGTATTGTTTACGGCAAAAACTTGGAAGTCCACCAATACTGCTGCTATTCTTGACATTTTCAAGGATGCCAAACTGAAATATTTTTATTTAGATATGTGAATACACCTGCATTTGATATAAAGCCATGAGTAAGCTAAAGCTTTCAAAATAATAAGATTTGGATTTGCTGCTTGACATGGATGCCAAACATTAATAAAACCAATAAAGTAACAAAGTTGAATATTGAGTGTGGACACACTGGAGGAAGGACTTTGAGTTTGGCTAATTCCCCACAGTGCTAACACATTAAACCACAATATGAATGTAACATTATCTACAACTCAAATTTAAAAGCTCTGTGTATGTGTGTGTATTTATCTATATATATCTATGTATTGAAATATGGCTCATTTAATGCTTTTTCTTGTGCAGTTCCTTGAACGTAGTCTGTGATTTTGTTTTACATAATGTTTAGTCTCTGTCTTCTAGTTTTCTTCTTCTCTGTCATGCATCAGGTTTCCCTGCCAAAGATCGATACCAGTGGAGAATGCGCTCCTTTGAAGTTCAGCCTGGAACACTATACCTCTAATGGTAATAATATAAGTAGTACCACAGGTGAGGAATTTTACCCTTGAGGCTGCCTGAGTTTATTGGCACAGTCCCTTCCTCCTTCTTCCTACAATCAGTCACACAAATGAGCATTACTCAATTACATTATTACAAATATTACTGGTTTTATTGTTGCATTCAGAGCACATCATGAAAGTGGGTTATAACTCACTCACACACTCACTCAATCACTTTTAGAAAGCAACCGATTGTACAAAAGAGACAGCTCTGTGGTCATTGTCACTGAGTTCAAAATGTAAAATGCAAATTTCGCCTGGTTTTGTGTACATTACATGAGTAGTCCTACTTTTCATTTTACTCCTCAGAACATCACAGGTGAGAGGAAAGCTTAATTTGTGAAGGTGTGTGTTAGAAACAAGCGAGGAGATCAAATCATTTACATTATAAACATAACAATCCCATGTCTGATAGTTCTCAGAAGTGTGAGCATGACTGCAGATCTGTTTTGGGGGATCTTGGATTCTTTTATTCTGCTTCGGATGGCTGAGCATAGTGATCAGTGGGGCGGAGTTCACTCAGCCCTCGGGTACTCTAGTTTTCTGTCTGTGTCCCTCTTCTCTCCTCCAGTTTCATACCACTTTATTAAGTGATACTTCCAAAACAAGGCCCTCATAGTTGCAGAGCATTAGGCGTGCGGACTGTCAGCTCTTTGCAATATGCTACTCAGGCTCCTTGAGGGCCAGAAGATGATCGTGTGTGTCCTGGCTGGTCAAGAAGAGACCTGTCTTTGTCTGACTTAAGGTCTGCCTCTCTAAACACAGCTTTGGCTGGCGGTTATAGAATTAATATGTCCACTAACTGAGGCAGTAAATCTGCTGGTGTTTTTTCAGCAGCCCTAAGGCAATCTGTTATTAAGGTTTTAATGAGTTGCTGTGTGATAAATACTTTGGTGCTACTTAAGATGTTTGACTGAGATTGATTGAGTCTACGCTGTCTGCCTCTGAGCTCTGTATTCAGCATTTTGGTCAGAGCCTTTTGGCATTTCTGATGCTGGACTCACTTGCACAAAAAGCGGTAGCCGCTGTTCCACTCAGCCCTGCAGACAGTACCACATGATTTATACACCAAGTGTTTGCGAGCAACCCCTCTGGGATTGAGCAACAGCAGAGGGGTTGTGCAGTGTGGTAAAAGTGAAACAATGTCTACATCTGTGGCTGTGCTATATTGTCTGTCTCATATCTTTACACACATCTTAACTGGGGGAAAGTGGATTTAGAAGATGTTTGACTGGGTAATCTGATTTGACCTTCAAGAGCTAACCTAACAGAGTGAGGCTGAGACTTGGTTGAGAGCGGCCCGCTGATAAGGGGGTGTGAACAGATAGTCCTGTACTGTCCCTGACAGACAGTTGGGCTTTTGTGATGGAAAAGGCCTCTTCCATCTCAACCAGTCCTGCCTATCTCAACCCTCCCACCCTTCTCCCTTACTGTCTCCTTTCTCGCTACAATCCTCTCTCCCACCTCCACCTCCTTTTCTTTCCCATTCCCCTCATATCCCCTCGTACCAGCCCATTCACCTCAGCTGTACCCTTCCCTACCTCCATCTCTTTTGTCCTTCCTGTTCATGGTCAGATTACAGAGCAGGCTGCACCAAATCCACTGTTAAATCTCTCTTATTAACTCTTTCTCTCTTATTTTTTTTAAGTAGATGTCTTTCTTTTCTGATAACTGATTAGTGTTTTCAAATGGTTAAATACATGTTTTGGAATTTCTTCTTTGTAAACAAGACCCAAAATAGCTTCAAGAAAGCCAGGAGCCAAGTGCTCTGTGAGAGTTTTCTACAGTGTATTGTCAACATTTTGTCCCTAATGAGGACCCTGCGGTCTCTCTTGACTTTCTGAAAAAGGCTTATGAATGTGAAAGAAATGTACAAGTTGAACTTTTACCCTTATCTTACATTCTGCCCCGCTCCCTACCCTCTCCCTTGCTGTTTACCCTGACAGAGGAAGCTAATGAAAATGATGATAGCTTAATGGTCATCCCGGACTACAGCCAGCTCAGAGCGCTCTCAGCTAGAACACTCAGACCTCTGGACGATGTCAATACCAAGCTCTATATTGGAACAGAGGTGAAATATTCTTAGCAATAAAATAAAAGCAAGTCATTCTTCACTATGAGCCTTTAAGAGTTTTTTTCTGCTTACAGATATTAATGATGGAACAAAGACTAAGGAAGATATTATTTATTTATTGTATTGGAAGAACCCACAAATATTATGACATTGTTGTTGTTAATTTGGGTGTCTTTCAAAACTGAGAATTAAATTCTACTACAAATATTGTTTGTACCAAAATTAAATATTGGCTTTAAGTTAAGCTAAATATGTCACATTTTATTGTATTGAACATGAGCAATTTACCATCTCAAAATCACAGGAAAATAAATCTACTGTTCAAGTTTTAATCGACTAGCCCATTTGTAACAATTTTATCAGCAGCTCTGTTAACAAAACTAAGACAAAATATAAAATGTGATCAGGTTTATACCATGTTTCCTTCTAACATGTTCCATTATGTGTATATTTTTACTGCCAGAATGGAGAGATTGTTTACACTGACTGGAAACTGGAGAAGGACGACTCAGGACGGCTGCACAGTGAGTATTCTGGCTTGCAATTATCAAAATGAGTTTAAAGGAACATAAGCACATTAACTGCAAATCGTGTATTCTTGACTGTTGACCATTTTCCATAGCAGACCACAATGCGGTTTATTTTATCCATTAGATGTTATCCACTAATCCAACAATAATGGTATCCCCAAAGTCTTGAGACAAAAGAAGCGACTGACAGCAATACATTAAATCATAATAACAATTATATCCAATTTATTAAAATATTTTTAATAAGAACTATGTATGTTTTAATAAAGACACATTAAGTCAACTGTTTCGTTTGGCACCTATGCTGAATGTAATCACTGTCATCAAATTTGTCAGTGCATTTAAAGGGACACAGAGGGTTAATTGTTCCTCGTATTGCATTGCTCTGTTGCTTCTGTGGAAGCAAATTACTGTCAATATAACAGTACACCTTCTCTTCCTGTCCCTCCTCCCTCCCAGGTGCCAAGCCCCTCCACTGTTTTAGCATCCATCACTGGTTGGTGAATACGGTACAGCGGTCACCCTTCTTCAAAGACATTATTTTGACAACAGGAGGCTGGAGCTTCGCCATCTGGAAGGAGGGCGTCATGGTAACAACAACCGTCGTTTCAGCTACAGTACCAGTTAAAATCATATCCACATACTTGATTGAGTTACAATAACAAATTAACACAAAAGATCAAAGTTATCCTAGACTTTTAACATAATCAGTCCTTTAAGTTATCATGATGTACACAACAAGATCAAAATCATAATATTTAACATATTTATTGCATTTTAAACCCATTGACTCAATTTAACTTCTTGTAAACTATGACATTCAGGACGGTCCCATCATTCAGTCAGCAAGCTCTGAGCATGTGTGCACTGTGGGATGCTGGTCTCTGTCCCGACCAGCTGTTTTCTTCATTGGGAAAGAGGATGGCAGCATTGATGTGTGGAACCTGCTGGAAAAGACCAGTGAACCTGTACGGGTACACGCACACATTACCAACGCCAAGATTACGTGCATCAAACCCTGGACCGCCTCATGTGAGTTCTTGGCCTCTTTGGTGCACAGCGCAGTGGTATGCATATGTGTGGCTCCAATAACTTGTTTTTACTAAGTTTTGGAAAGAAAACTTTCATGTCTCACAAACAGATCACATTGTAATGATATGTTTACCTTATTTACATTAAATGGAGGTAAACCTGTGATTTAGTTTAGATGGAAAACTTACTCAAGTTTTCTATCTAAACTAACTGCTAAAAAGGACTGCTACAAGGTATTAATCAGTCAAACTTAATTGTATAGCATCTTTCGTACAGGTTAGTGCCATTCAAAATGCTTTACGGATGACTGACAGGCTGATAATAAGACTATACAAATTTTAACAGTAAAATAATGAATAAATGTACCTGAGAAATACAAATTTATGAAAATGTAATAATAAAACAAACAAAATAGATAAAAGACAATAACATAAAATAGGGAGAAAGAAGTACTCTGCTGTACCTGCTGTCACAGTTACTTCTAAGATATAAAATGTCCCTGCCTCTCTGCCTGTTTTTTTTATATTAGCCAAGCAACACTTCCTGGCTGTGACCGATGACCTTGGGATGGTCCGTGTTTTTGAACTCCCAAAGACACTCTACGTTCCCTCCAGGAGTGAGGTAAAGACAATCCAACCTCAGATGTACTCACTTTAAAGAAGCTTATGAGTTGTCTGTTTATTTATTATTTTGTAAAAAGAAATAAAAATGTACGTATGGTCTAGGTTGACAAAATGAGATAACAACTCTAGCACTGCAGACCAATGATCACCAAACCTGATTTGATTTACTGTAACTTTATTATTAGAACATTTTTCCCGAAATTTGTCTTGCTTCCCGAGACGTACACTGTTTAACATACATAACAAAACACAACATTTAACCAAAACAACAAAACAAATACTACAGACATATATTACATCAGACATTATGAAAAAGTGGTTGCAGTGCAATACATTTAATTGCTCCCTTTTATAATCAGTTCTTAGTCTACACAGGAACACGGAGGCCTACTGAGAACCCAAACTCTGATATAACTGAACTGAGTTCGGCAGTCTGTTCAATCGAGCCTCTGGGACGCTAAATTTTCTGTTTGATAGCAAAAGCTGCTATTATGGGTTATTGTGAACAGTATACATCACACATTAGAACTGCTTTCTATTTTGTCCGTATGCAGAGTTTGAGTGTGAAGAAATACTTTGAGCTGGAGGAAGACAGGTTGAAGGATTTTCTGAAGAGGGAGGAACTGTGGGCAAAACAGAAGAAGGAAGCTGAAGAACAAAAAAAGAAGACGGTAAGCTGTCGTTCTGATTGGTAGAAGCCTCAGCAGGCTTTGTGCAGACATTACACTAGACCTAGAGAGCAGAAGTAAGTTTGTTTATGGAGTGTTGTTGGTTAGGATCCTTGCACAATCAATGTTTATCTTTAAGTGGTCTTTGAATGAGACCTTGTGTCCTCAGCTACACTCTAACCTCACTGGTATTGGTGGACAGCCCTCTGACTGTACAGCAAGATTTGCAAATGTTTTTTTTATTGGCCCAGTTAGTGTGTACAACAGTTAAAAGTTGGCAATGGAAAAACTGGAGTAGGTCATCCCTCTGTTTCTGTCTCCTCTGTCTCTCTTATTCTCTTTCACTCTGCCTCCCCTCATGTTTAATTCACTCAGATCAGATCATTTGATCCTTTGCACTGGGGACAGTATAGTTAGGAGATAAAACTTTCAGTGGCTGAATGTTTAAAAAATGGTAAGTATGAATGCAGAGGGAGGTTAGTTTTGTTGCAGTAATCTTATGATGGTCATACATTCCCCACATATGCTGGTATGTTCATTTCCAATCTTTGTCATCATATGACAAGGATGTGACACCTCAAACTGTGTGATTACTGTTTTTAAATTAAGTGATTTCAGAAAGTTATCATTTACCAAAGCCTCCTTTAAGAAACTCTTCCCCACCTGATCAAAGCAGATCATATTGGAACATTTTGCAATGTTAAAATACAAAATTTTATCTTGTAAAAGATTTGGTAAAGGAGACAAAAAAGAGAATTTGCTCAGACTGTATCTCATTTATATACACCAATGTTAAGTGGTCTGTCAAGCCACAAAAGTTTCCCACATATTTTTATTTTGGGATTGCTGCAAGATGTATTCTTGAAATCATAGGTTTGCCTGAAATTTATGTTAAATATTTGTGTAACTAAAAGTCTGACGCAACACATGTAGCTGAAGATTTTGCTTCAAAGCGGGGGAAAAGTCAGCTCTTTGGTAAGGAGAAGTTGTAATGTGCCCTATCATTTGTTACATATTGTTTATGTCTGAAATTCTTCTCTGGTTTTTGTCCCCAGGAGCCCGAGAAGCCAGTCAAATTCCTGCAGGAGAATGAAGAAGCGAACATGAAGGAATACAGTGATTACCTGATGCTAGAGGAAAGCATCCTGAAGGGCCTGGGCCTATTGGCAGCTACTGCCAACACACAAGATACCTGATATCACACTTGCACACATACACGCACAAATTGCATTTCATATAAAAGACATAAAACTGGTTTTCATCATAATTTTTTATACATTTGATTGACTGTTTTTATAAATGTGTAAAGGTTTGTGTCTTTGCTGCAGTTTTTATTGAAATACAATCTATATACTACTTAGACGTAAAATATGAGAAGAGTGAACATTTTTGCACATTTATTCTGCCATCAACATTCAGGCTGATTTTGGATTGGGACATCAGGCTCACAGATCTTTTTTTCATCTACCCATCTGAGATCTAGTTACTGGGTAATGCCATCCATTAGCCCAGTCTTCACCACCACTCCCTGAGGATGCAGTTTTGAACTATCTCAAGGATCTGACCTTGGCAGGAAGTCATTTTATGGCTCTTTGATTTCATGATTACTTATCTGTTGTTGTTGAAAGCTTCTCTATTATATAACAGTTCACACAGCAGCTATCTGAACCAGTAGACAAGAAAAATAATATTATGTATAACTTTATGTGAATCATTCAGATGATTTTAGTCAGTTAGGAAAAAACATTACTGGACCATATTCTTAAAGCTGCACTGATCAATATACAGTGGGTATGGAAAGTATTCAGACCCCTTTAAATTTTTCACTCTTTGTTTCATTGCAGCCATTTTCCAAAAATCAAAAAAGTTCATTTTATTCTCAGTAATGTACACTCAGCACCCCATCTTGACAGAAAAAAACAAAAATGTAGAAATTTTTGCAAATTTATTAAAAAAGAAAAACTGAAATATCACATGGTCATAAGTATTCAGACCCTTTGCCGTGACACTCATATTTAACTCAGGTGCTGTCTATTTCTTCTGATCATCCTTGAGATGGTTCTACACCTTCATTTGAGTCCACCTGTGTTTGATTATACTGATTGGACTTGATTAGGAAAGCCACACACCTGTCTATATAAGACCTTACAGCTCACAGTGCATGTCAGAGCAAATGAGAATCATGAGGTCAAAGGAACTGCCTGAAGAGCTCAGAGACAGAATCGTGGCAAGGCACAGATCTGGCCAAGGTTACAAAAAAATTTCTGCTGCACATAAGGTTCCTAAGAGTGAAACAACTCATTTGTAGTGATGAACCTACACAGAAATATCATCTCACTCTACAACTCCCTTCAGCTCTTTTAACGTCTTTCAGCTCATTGTTTTGGTTTTAAGGCCTACAGACAACTAGTTAGCAAATAGCTAACTAACTAGCCGGTGAACATTTTGGCACATTTGAGACAGATCTTTACCTCAGGAGTCGGTGGATGGTTAGAATAATGTAGAGACAGAGTGAATATTGGCCAGGTGGCCAGAATTACAACCCTAAAGCTGATGATAACCGGAGCAACTTTTAGAGCAATCATGCAGGGCAACGTTGCCGTCAATGGTAATGAGTAAAGATTACTACCGTAATCCCCTTCCCCCACCACTCCGCCACCCCCCCGCACCGCCGCTATCCGTTCAAAACATAGTCAGACTTGCCACCAGCAAGATTGCTCAAAAAGCTGTCCCGTGTATCATCAGCTTAAATGAATCATGTTGCTTTGTATCTGCTGGATGTGTAAAAAGGCAGTTAGGGTTAGACATTCTTATCAATAACAATATTGGGGGAGAAACAAAGAAAAAAGGAGCAAAGTTGAGTTTGATTGAAATAAAATAAATGATTCAGGTAGGCACGATTGCACATCAAACTCGTTTGCTAGATTTTCCCTAGATTAATCATGTTTATTTAACTTAAGTTCCTCTCCAAATTTTTCTCCCAGTAACGCTACAGTGGCTACATGCCCCACGCAGTTTGAGATCAACTGATCTAAGCTGTGGTTATATGTTACCTCTAGGCTTTTAAGCAGCCTGCTACATTGACAATGTGAATCCAGTAATGAGATTCACCTGAATGAGTGGCCTTGAAACTTTATCAACACAAGCAAGGGAGCAGTGGACTACTGCTCACACGGAAAAGTAGCTCTGCAGCTAAAAGTGTGGTTTTCATTTCAGTTGGACTCTTTCACCACAATGGAAAGGTTTTCCCAAGTGAAACTTTTATTTCTGGCACATTGTTCACAACATTTATGAGAATACTCTTTCCCTTGTCATGTGTTGTAACAAGTACCCCTCCAGCTCTCTGGACTCCATTAGTTTCGCTCCTTCATGGGGATAACATAAGGACGCCTCAGAGTGCTTGGTCCACCTCAAGTCAAGAGCAGGCCCAGTAAACTTATAGTCAAAACTGACAGCAAGTATCCTGCCAGAAAAGAAGCTGGAGGGACAGAGCTAGGGGGGTGGCCGCATAATTTAGGGGCAGCTGTCTATTGCGAGGTTCACTGAGTATGAGATGCCGAAAAAGGGAAGAGAGAATAGACGATTGAAAGAACAGATGATCAACAGCAAAACAAGTAGCTGAATGTTGGGCGAGAGTGGGTAGGGGAGAGTGAGAGAGAAGAAAAAGAAGATGGCAAGAGATGGAAAAACAGAGTTGATTCCTTTCAACAGAAGGGAGCTGGGGTCGACTTCACTCCGGCCATGACTCATTCACATGGATGGTCCTGTCATGGAGCAGAGGGGGTGACAGGCACCAACAAGGCCCGGGTCACAAAAGGGGCTTCTGCTCTCCAGTCGTCCGCTCCTCAGACCTCTCTGGGAGTTCTGTTTTGCAGTCCCTCTCTTCTCCAGATCCTCTCACTCTCTCCCAGGCCAGCTGAGGAATGTGCCTTCTGCAGACCAACATGCACATACACAGGGGGAGTGTCTTCACCCTCACTGGTTAGTTATTATTGTTATGGTCGCTGCAAAGAATGTTGTGCAGTTGAGTAAGGATGTATGCAATGTAAGCATTTGTGGAATTTGAAGTTACACAGACATATGCGGAGACTTTTGCAGGTTAAGCTCTGCTGCTTAGCACTCACACTCCTTTAATGTTTTGGACAATGGACAACAGCACAACTATAAACCCAGTGACCCTCCTGACATGACGGGTATTCATGTCAGATTTCCCTCAGTTGATTTCTTCATCTAAGTCCAAGAGAATTCCCAAACATAAAAAGAAATCTCTAACCAAAGGGGTGTCTATGTAGGATGGATTGCCTGCGGTCCAGTTTTTATCACCAATTCTTGAAGGTTTTCAAGCCAAATCCTGGGAAACAATGTGAGCAGGTGCTGTGCAGGAGGGGCTGTAAATCTGGCCTGGCGAATTAAGGCATTCCCTGGCATTGTTCTGGCTGGCCTCTTAGCTGCCCCTGCTTGGAAGTGGTTTGATGGTGGGGTAAGGTGGTGCGAGGGTCTACTGCCTAAATCTCCCAACATGGGGGCACCCTGAACATTTCACACATAGTCATCCAAGTTGGACCCCAGCTGCAGACGGAGAGATCCAAGTCACACAAACACACGTCACAGATCCTGCAGGAGAGGGAACTTGCTGCACAGCAAAGGCAAGAACATTAAAATAGGAAAACCGATTGCCTCTGAGAAAAGTGATTGTTCAGACTTGTTTCTTACTATTTACTTGACCATCAGAGCAGCACATTTGCCTCTAGTTAAAAAGAAAATGAAAACAGCAATTTGTCTTAAACAGTGTTTCCTCGTCTCAAGAAAGAGTTCAATCAGCATCTTCCTTTAACTTCAAAGCGTGTATGTGTTTGCATGTCCTGTGTGCAGTAAAGAATAAAAAAAAAAATTAAAGGCTCAAACAGGGTGTATGCTTTATTTAGTTCAGTTTATCATAAATTGCAACATATACTATATATAAAGCAGTTGACTGAATCTTAATTTAAACTTCCCAGGTAACGCTAACTATCAAGAATAGCCCTATACTTAGCATCCTGGACAACATTTCCTAGTTGCCTACTGTGAACTCTAGGTGACCCTACGTTAGGTGAAAGTATTATCTTATGAACATGGTACCATCACAATGCTTACAATGACCATATCAACATGCTGATGTTGAGCAGGAACAATGTCTACCATGTTCACCATCTCAGTGTAGCCTGATAGCATGCTATCATTTGCTATTTACCTTACTGAGGCTAATGGGAATGTCATTATTTGTATTTGTAAGTATTTGGTCAGAAACCAAAGTATTGGTCAAATTGAAATTTGAAAGTCACAGATCAAAAAAGTTAATACAAGCCTGGAGGAGGACATGAATATACCAAATTTCATGGCCATCGATCTTATAGTTTAAGTCATTCAATCTGGACCAAGTGATGCAGCAACTGACTGATCAACATCGCCGCTAGCTAGCCTGGCTAAAAAAATCCACAATATAATTTGGCAAAATAAACTTGAGTCAAGGTCAACTTACTAGCTATTTCTAGAGCTATGAACTAAATCTTAGTGTTCATCAGAAGAGTTAGTTTGCTATTTGAGCAGTTCTGTCCACTGATGAAAACCATGAGATTGAAAGCTGTTGGGGAAAAAACCTAGCAAGTAGACCTTTGTATGTGTATTCAAGAAATTGTTGCTTAACATTTTTCATACGATATCTTGGCATAAACCCAGACCAGGATGTCATTCCCTCAAATTGGGATCTGTCATCGAAACTATCAGTCTGTCAGAGCAAACATATGGAAAATTCTTAAGGCTTTTCCTATAACCATGGAATCTCTGAACCATCTTTTTGACATGCTGTTATCAGGCAGATTATTCATAACTTTGCTTCCATGAAATAAAGTTAATTTGTTAGTACGATGTTCACACATAATTCCATGGTATTTTTCTGTAAAGTGAGTTATTTGGTTGAGTTGTTGCGTGAAGGAATAGTTCTACATTTTGGGAAATATATCTGTCAGTTGAATGAAGCTGCAGCCAGTTAGCTTAGCTTAGCACAATTGGAAACGGGGAAACTGAGCTAGAAATAGTCCAGCACATAACCAGTAAACTTCTGATTTTGTATGGATAAACTACATGTTAATTAGTAAACTGTAGGAGTAGGTGGATTTTATTAGCTTTGGACAGAACCAAGCCTGCTGTTTCCTCCGTTTCCAGTCTTTGTTAAGCTATGATAATCAGCTGATGACTGGGAAGAGTAGTATTGATCTTCTGACCTAACTCTCAGCAAGAAAGCGAATAAGCATATTTCCCAAAATGTGGAACTAC